GTTTCTGCTGCAAATGATACTGCTACTACTGCTGCTACTGCTACTACTACTGTTTCTGCTGCAAATGATACTGCTACTACTGCTGCTACTGCTACCACTAAGTTCTGTCTACTGCTGAGATACAATTGCTCCTGTTTCCAACACTACTAATAATACACTAATTATAAYTAATGATTTCCATACCTTTGGTACAGGTTTGACAGAGGAACTTTCTGTTTTTGGTTCACGTTCAGCTGATATAGTGTTAGTATCTCTTGCTGGCAATTTGACCTTTGGATTCAATATAGAAACAGGGTTGTCAATAAAATTTTTGGTAGGCGGTTRTGAAATTGAAATAGGCSGTAAACYGGAAATCACTGGAGAATGTAATTGAGGCATASTTGTCACCAATCTCACTCTTCTCACAAAAATTCAAGATGGCAGACAACAATCGTTGTAGTTTCRATTGCGTTGCAGTTTTTATAGTACAGCAACAAAGATTGGGTTAAAATTTATTTTATTCACACATTTTGCTAGTTTAAAGAACTCTAATCAAGATTTACAATTAAATTGGGAAGTGGCTGAGTAGGCATCTGAGTTAGTGAGAGAATTGGGAATTGGCTGAGTAGGCGGCCGAATTAGCAAGAGAGGACGGCAGAATCTGCCGGTTGCTGGCTTCTATTGCCAGCTTCAGTCCCACAATTCACCGCAATACCAACTCAACCCAGGTTTTCCTACACCTTGGGATGGCAAATACATAGCTACATTCTGACATTGTCACTCTTGTCATGGGCTAGTATCTATATTGCATCCATTTTTTTGAAATATATATTTCATTGGGCAGTATTAAACTGGTTTTATAATTGTATAATAATACTAGGACTAGTGCACATACCTGTTCAACAACTGCTGTAGGTTTAGGGGTGTTGTCAGATAGTCTGCTGTCTCTTTCTTCTAGAAATGACAAAGATCAAAGTTTCATTTTCAACAGTCTTCCTGGCATGTTTTGTAAGAACATTTCGACTAGCAATTTTGTTGCATAACTTGAGGGGCAATTTTAAATACGCAAATGTTGGGCAATTTTATGACAAATTAAAGGTGACAGATTGCAGCCAAGTCATTGCAAAATCAAACCTGCTCAAAATTTAGTGCAACTTTCAGATTTTTTCTCTAAAAAAGTTACCAAGTTTAAAATTGCACCAACTTCACTGCAACCTATCATCATAAAATTAACATTGAAATTGCTGCTTTAGTTGCACRACAAAATTGCTGGTGTAAAAAGGTGTTTATTGGAATGTATGGAAATTGCCTGGGACATAAATGATCTAACAGACGAAGTATAGGGTATTGCACCACCATGTGACAGCATCCATGTTAGATGGCAGGAACGATACAATCATTTCACTTAAGAATGAATTAATTTCATGAAAGCAAAGGGATCTCATTGTTCTGTTATCTAACCACAGGCTGTATTATGGGCATGGGCATGTGACAGTGCAAAACGTCTATTTCTTCCCTTGAACATCATGATTTCTTTGCTTAAAAGTACATTACAAAAATACAATTTCATACTTGGGACCCTCTGTGGTTTGGGTGGGCTGACTGCAGGGAGATCCTTCGCAGGAACTGCATCCCGTTTATTTTCATCTCTACTGCTAGCTCCTTGTACTTTAGACTTCCCTGAAGCTCTGACTACTGCTGAAAAGAGCTCCTCTTCTGTCTTACCACTGTCTACTTCACTACGGTCTGAATGTGAGTTTTCCTTCAAGAAAAATATAAAAGAAAACATTTTAACCATCCATYGCTGATTCAACATGGAGGAATATGTCACCTTCCCAGTTAGGAGGTTTACAGTGCAACAAGCAAAAGTATGAACACCTTTAAAGTATTCACATACTTCTATGCACAGGATTTTGAATGTTAAATTGACAAATTTCAATGCAAAGTTGGCTGGTTTTACCAAATTAGGAGCTTAAAAGTTTATTTTGCAGTGCAAAGTTCAGTCAGTGAGTAAGCCGTGCCCTGACTTAGATCAGCCCAGAGGTTGTTTCAGGGTTTGTTCTGTGAGTTAGCCATGTCCTGACTTTGATCAGCCCAGAGGATGTTTCAGGGTTTGGTCAGTGAGTTAGCCGTGCCATGACTTTGATCAGCCCAGAGGTTGTTTCAGGGTTTGGTCTGTGAGTTAGCCGTGCCATGACTTTGATCAGCCCAGGGGTTGTTTCAGGGTTTGGTCTGTGAGTTAGCTGTGCCATGACTTTGATCAGCCCAGGCCTGGTTGTTTCAAGACATTGATCTTATTTGAAGCTTTGAAGGTTTAGAGATGAGAGTTCACAGCTATACCACCCTTGATATATATTCAATTAACACTGGACACTGTATCCTTACCTTCTCAATTTCTCTTGCTAAAATTTCAGCTCTGTCTTCAAGTTCCTTTGAACCTTCTACAGGGGTACTATAYAAAAAATTCAAATGATGCATTAACAGTAACACATTTTTTAGCTGTATTCTAAATACAGTAAGATATATATGTATTTTTATTTAGTACAAGTAGCTTTTCAGTGGGGAGAAAGGACACTAAGTCCAGTCAAGCTCTACACTGCAGTTACATATCATTTATTGATGTCACAGTTTCATTAAGTGTTGTCAGGAACAATAATTACACCTGATATTATATAATTTGATATTAAAATTAGTTTGGGCATAATATTTTCCACATACATGATTGTGGATAAAACTCAAACAAAGAATCTTATTCTCAAGATAAGTGACACAGGGTCTGAAATGGGCAAAATATTACCCCCAAGTGGATTCGGTCCATTTAAATTGTTATTATCATCCAAAGACTTACGTGTAAGATAACATTTTATGATCATACGATGATGTGACACCATATTTCTCTTTATTAGTAGCAAACATTTCATCAGGATCAAGACCATTTTTCTAAAAGGTAGAATTTTGTCAGTGAATTTCATAAAATAAGTTAAATTTCTATGAGCATTGCATCCCTGCCATGCATTGTACTGCTATATACCATGGCCAGGAACCAATAAAATCAAGTCAGAAGTTAAGTTTGAGTTTTAAATTATTACAAACTGAAATATATGTGAAGAAATTCATTAACCTTATAAGCAAGGTATCATGAGGGTTAAGTGGGACATATATATATAGTTTACATAAAAAAAACTTTTACTTAAATCTCTCCAAGATTGATATTGTTTCGTTTTTTTTTTTTTGTTTTTTTTTTGTAGCTGCCTCATCTTAAGAACACTAAAATCAAAGCTTTATGGTTCAATAARAGGAAACAAAAACAAATACATGTGAGGTTGAAGTCAATCAAACTATGGACAACTTGCTTTACTCCAATGGACTCATCATTCGGTCATAACTGCTAAGTACTTTGGATATAATTTTAGCTGTTTTTGTCACTGTCTCAAGGTTATTTTGTCGATGACATCCTTGATTTTCTATATTGTAAGGAATCAGAACTTAAACCAACCTCTGCCTTAACTTGTACTTCTGYGCCAGAAGGAACCAGCTGAGCTATTTGCTGTCCCATAACCTCTATGCCATTATTAGATCAAAAATCACAGATGCTAGATACATTCAATTAGAAGTAACTATCAACGATGAATGCCTAGCCATTTTCTCCTTGTAATTATTTCAAGATTTAAAATCTTTGAAATGCCGGTTTTTCTACAGTTTTTTCGATATTGTTTTTTCGATATTGTTTTAGTACTGATTTATGAGCTCCTAAGTAAGAATAAGAGTTATTTAGAGGTAAAAAGGGTACTTAAAAACCACTGGCTGGTTTTGTATTATTGAAACAAAGAGGTGCTGGTGGCAAACTATTCAACATTTGTAAACAAACTAGAATATGGGGATTGACAACTCCTACTTCAAAATGACTGGTAAAGACAGTGTATTGATTACTTGTGGTAAAGAGTTTTTTGACAGGTTCAACTGGTCTTTTGAACTCTTATTTTTTTTCCAAGGGAAATTTTTAAAGGTTTTTTGTGAAGAGGGGTAATATCAAGGAGATATCTTGAAAGTATCAAAAATTATTTATAYTATATTTCAGTTACATGATGGGCATTAAAAACAAATGAAAAGGAATGTATAATACTGAAATTATTTCATTACTTCGAACCAAATTTCTTTATGATTTTAAAATACTATTAATATATGAAATGTCCTGTACTATGGCTAGTTTTTTTATCAGAGATTTTTTATATTTTGATGAGTATAATATTCAATGAATAAATGGAAACATAAGCTTTGCTAATGGAAATATAAGTTTAAAAATAATTGAAAGAAATTGTGTTTAAACCTATGTTATATACTACCATTATTTGCACTCTAAAATTATCTACATTTAATAATTAWTAATGAATAATTACTAATAAATGAATATAATTATCAGTGACAATTTTTTGTTCAAACTCTTCTAGTGGATTTATACCAGAATTTAATGATTGGGGACAAACCAGCAAACCTGGAAGGAAAACTCACAGCATAGCCAACAATGAGCATTCACATCTGCTCACACACTTTTAACAACAGCTTTACAAAATAATATCCCTAAAATTGTGTCAAAACATACCATGGATGAATCTTCAAGCACACCAGCAATCTCTTCATGCTCTCCAGATGGATCTTCCCATTTCTATCCAAAGTTTATTATTGAAAAATGTTTTAAAAAAACTTACTTCTTAYTAATCATTTAGGTTTAAGCTAGGAAGGATATTGTCATAGCAACCATTGTACTGCTATCTTTCTTCTCTTCTTCAATTCAAGGTTGAAGTAGAAGAAAGGAACTCAGTGCAATGGATGGTTGCTACAAAAGAATTTCATAAGAAAGGATTATCCAGCTGATCTGAGACAAAATATTAGCCAATCAGAAGCAAGAAAATTTGTAAAACTGATGTGTCACTTTTCCTTTTAAAATTATGGATTTCCATGCCAAAAAATGGGGGAAAAAAACAAACATTGTTAATAAGCTTTTGGTAGAGTACAAACACTAAAAGTGTGCAACAATTTGCACTATTTAGTAGTAAATAGTGCTAATTAAACTATAGAAAACAATAGGATTAGCATAATTTAGCAGTATTTATCTTAATACACCGTATGGTTTGTGATGTTTTCACAAACCATACGGTGTACTAAGTTAAATCAATTCTCCTACTGTTCGATTCCACACACCGGCACGGTTAACTAGTTTATCTAGTTTCTACCATATGATTTAGCAGTATTTAGTGGTATTTATGTTGCACACTTATAGTGTTTGTACTCTAACATTAATGCAATAATATTAATGAGATTTATATTTTTATTGCAATGGCAGGCATGATTTTATCTTTTGCTGGTCAATTTGTGCAGGCTTCATGACACCCCAGTTTAGCAGTGTCGTCATTCTTATGTCACTATTTCAGATCAGCTAAATGCAAATTATTCTAAAAACAGAATTTTTTATCATTTCCTGGAAATCAATTTTTTATTCTCATTAAGATTAAATTGCATGAAAGAGTGACTGGAAAAAGGAAACAATTTCTTTTGTCGCAGTATTAGAGCAAAATAAATAGAACTTTCAGGGGTCGATTTCTCCCTATACAGCAATCAAACCCTCTAATTGACGAATCCTCTAATTAGATCATATAGATTTTATTGATCCCCTAAAGGTTGGGTAAGAACCCCTGAATAAGAAGCTAGAAGCTGCTTTTTTTGTGTGTGTTTCAATTTTTTTAGGGGGGTGAAAAACTTGGATATGCCTCTGTTTATGATCAAGAAATAGAATTGGTTAAAAATCATGGTGTGTTGCCCTTTATTATAAGGAAAATATCAACATTTCAATTTGAATAACTGACCTGTAGTTGTCGTTCATGGCCAGCTTGTCCATTCAGCCTACTGCTGATAGCCGTATCTGTGAAATTTTCTGGAAAATTGAAAGAAAAAAAATCAGTTATTATATTTTGTACTCATGTTTAAAAATAAGATTGTTTAGAAAGGTGAAAATTAACTCTTATTCACTGCTCAAGATAAGCTTTAATGATAAATGAAGGCACAACTCCATCGCAACTACAACATCTACTTCTTAGATGCCTGCGATTCGACGYGAAGTAAAAAACAAACTGGGAAAGAGTATTCCTGTAGCTGACATGCTCTCCATAATGTATTTCCAAAGAGATAACAATGACAGTGGCTACGAACATCACAACATTCACTTTGTTACTTACACTAATAATATTTATTGTCTTAGAAAAGTTCTATTATGTCTACCTATCCAGAGGAAAACCCTTATGGGTGAAACAAACTCAACTCAAACATGCAGCTTATCTGAAAATCAAACCTACAACCACAGGCTTGAAATATACAGTGACGAGAAAGCACTATAGCAATACACCGATCCCAAATTCACTGTTCTACCTCCCTAGTTAATGTTGCTAGGTCTGACAAGCTGAAATGTGTTTTTGATATACAGCATGGAACAGACACTGATTGCTGAAAATTGTAAATGTCTGCCTTTATACTAAATAATTTTATGAATTCAAGTTTGTTGGTCAGACATTCTGTATTCCATTGGGCAAACTACCCATTGTTTGGGTGGGCACTCAAGCATGGCCAGGAGCATAGCCAGGATCAGTGTACACCAATATCATGTCATCATAACAAACTGAGAATCACAGTTACAGTGATATAGTCATGACCAGTTTACCTTTCTTGATCTCCTCCAGGTCAACATCCTTTGCAGCAATACACACAATATGTTTTAAACCAATCACAAGGGTTTCTATTGTGCAATCTTTTGAAGGTACTGGTGTATACTCCTAGAAAACAATGAAAAAACACATAAATCCTTTATGAAGGCTGAGAATTTCAACGACAATACAGAGCCTAGAGTAGGCTTCAAAGCAGCCATGTTGTATGACAAAGTAAGATTATAAGATTATAATATTATCTATTAAATCTCTTTTAGATCAAAAATATTGCATTGTTTCAACCCCAAAAACATGGCTGTTTTGCAACCTTCTGCATGTAAAATATTGCTCTCTTACCTCTATTTTTTGTTGGCCAATTCTCTTTTGAACTATATGTGCCATTTCAAGGGTCACATCCAACTAGAATCAACACCGTAAGTTAATATTTTAATTTGAATTAATATTATAAAGGAGAATTTTAGTGTTTATTAATATCATTACTTGAGGTTTCTGCTGCAGGGTCCCCTTCGAGGTACATCACACCAATTTCCACCCCGTAAAATCTCCATACCCATCCCACAATCAACCCATTAAGAAATCATTAGTAAATGCTAGACACTGAGGGTGGTCACTGCAGGGTTTCTTTACTTCCTCCATGGTTCTTTTATGTCCCTCCGTTGCAGGGTGAGGTAGTGTGGAGAGACAGGACCACCATTTTACATGGTCATCCAAGCCACGTGAAGGTCTAACCATTTGTAGTTGTCATTACAAAGACAGCACCTTCTCCTCAGTTATTCTAAGAACCTGAGTGTTGGTCCAGCCAGRACTCAAACCACCACCTCCCTCAAGAAAGTCAGATGCTCAACCAACTGAGCCAACTGGGTGGCCTTGGTGTTGCTCAAGATTACAGCGTACGTAAAAGGTCTATAACTTCGTAACAGTTAGTGAGAGGGAGTTTTGAGGGATTATAGCACAGTTTCTGTACAACATTACAGTAAATAGGGTACTGTAAAAAGGTGGTGCTTTTTCTGTATTTATCCTAGCTTACCGTATGGGACACAGTCTTGAGAACACCCTCATAAACCGTTCCATTAGGGACAGTTACCTCTACTGAACAGCCCTGTGAGAATTCAGTAAACTATAGTTAATATCAATATATGATAGCTATCAGTCCAGTATTGCATTGACATGCCAGGGGTATAGTGTATGAAGTGGGATTCCTATAGTAACTGTGAACCCTCTTCCCTTGAATAGTGTATTTATATTTTTNGGGAGGGACAATTTCTTGTGGTTAGAGGTGAGTTATTATTATTATTATTATTATTATCAAAAAATGTTACAACAACAACCACACTTCTAATTCTAGATCCCCTTTGTTAAAACCATATGCTACACTAAAAACTTGCAAAACATAATTGTTCAGAATCATAAGAAGCTAGAAGCAAGTAACTTTATGTCATCGGAAAATGTGAGACCTACGAGTCAACTCAACTAGCCTGTTACTAAAAATTACCAAAAGTTCTATGAAATAGAAGTTTCAAAAATATGTTTTACAAAAAAAGACAACCATTTTGAGCTTTATCGGCAGACATGAGACATGTATCATGACTTATGTTCAAAATTATTCAAATCTTGGTGTATATATCATCCCTAATCCATTAATTATTTTTCAGAAAAGAGATCTGTCTACCGTAGTAGGCCATTGACATACAGTTACGTAAGAAGTGTAATGTAGCATAACATCAAGCAGTGTCTAGTCAATGTTATCAAAAGGTACACAACGTCATYACATATTGTATGTGCAAACAAACTAGAATTTAGGACAACACCACTGTTTCTAATGGAAAGATTCAATGACACACAACCAAAGACGCATTTCAGACAAAGAGAACAAAACCTTTAATACTACATTGTCATTCACAATGCAATGGCCTGTATATGTTGATGCAGAAACCATCACCAAGTAGAAAACAAAGAAATAAAAGTTGGAGGTTGCATCATCATTAAGTTTTGAAATGAAATTAAGGGACACGTCAAAGTAATTTTTGAGAATTTTTACACACATAAATATAGATTTCCAGAATTTACTAACCATATTCTCTTACATACTATACACAACTTACCAATAATGATACGATGGAGTGGACTAGATATGGATTTTGATAAATATCAACCATGGACTGTTTAAGATCGTCATTCTGTAGATCGAAATTAAGCCATTTTGTCATAAAACTATAAAGAAAAGCCCAATAAAATAAGATATCTCTTCAAACTTGAGAATCCATTTGCTGTCAAAATGACGACGCATGGATTTTTTTAGGACTTTTATAAGCCGATGAGGTTATTTTTACGACAATATCTTTGGTTAAAAGTTAAGTACAACGAAGCTTTGATTTTCAATATAACAATGAGATCTAAAGGAAGAAAAAGATTTTTAGCCATGAGAAAAATATAAGGTAAATTTAAGCTTAGTTCATTGAAAACATCTCTGACAACTCTTCGTACCTGCGACTGTGTAAAATTTTGTCCCCTGTTTCGACCCCTAGAAAAAAAAAGGAAGTTTATAAACATACGAAGTGAGTATTTTTACCGGTTTTAAAAAACGCGATTAGGCGTTATGGAGCGTTCAGGAAGCAACCAGGAAGCATGTGCAAGAAAGTGTGCCAATTTTACTTCAGTGACCATGTGAACCAACTTCTCTCAAAGAATGAAGGGGTTTTTCGAGCTCTTCGGGTTAAAACAACAACTAAACCAAACAGGGAAATCTTCTCTTAACCATTATCACAATTAAAAATGACAGATGGATCCGAAATAATTACACTAGGGTCAAGATAATTCAGTTTGTTGCGAGAATTTGTGCGAGGCAGACGACGTTGGTAGCTAGAAGTGGTCGTGATGTGAAACAAGCTTCACAGTTTCACTTGTGGATTAGGTAGAGTCATGCGATATAAGCTAAAAACAAGGTGTTTCTTTTCGAAGAGTCTTCTACTTAATCGTTTAAGTTGAAATACTAATAGGATGGAGAGCAAATCTGTAAATCACACTAGTGTGTGAGAGTCGATAGTAGACACATCCGCCGGTATAACACCGGTTTCGCAAAGATCCAAGGCGGCCATTACAACAGCTTCACAAGGCCTCTACGAACACATTTTCGAAACCTTTATGCTCTAAACACCATTAGTCTTTCATTTAGAATAAAATCTGTGCCATACCTGTTGAATCCACCGGATCCACGACCCTTAGTGCGTTTAGTTTGATTCATGATTGAGAAAAGTTAGAACAAGTTGGCATTCCATGAACTGATAAACGCAACACCATCATATTGTAATAAATAAATTTAAAAAACGCCTATAGCGTTTGGGACTTCGAGCTTCAAGGAAATTGAAGCCAAACTCTTCTACTTGAGCATCAAGAAGGTGAAGGTTTCTTATGAAAACATTTAGGCAGCCACAGCTTTGACTTCCTTTCACTTCTCAAAATCCTCTGCGTATCGCGAGTTCGCGTTACCACACTCTCTTTGCACTGGGGAGAATCTACGATCCAATCACTCGACCACTACTTTCATTTTTATGCCAAGAGGGGGAAATCTTTTTTAGAAAAAATGCAATTCGATTCACATTCATTTCAGACAACTTATGCCACTACTTGAGAATTTATTTCATAAAAATTCATTGTCTTTTTGGTTGATTAAGACACTGATAGGACGGATAGGACTGTTCCTCCAGTATCTTTTCCTTTTTTACGACTCAAAAAAAGGAATGCTTTTATCCTTTCATATTTATTATATCATATAATGCATGGATCATTTTTCTTAAAACCATCCTATCATCTAATGTTTCACAGGAAGATTTTACAGGAAGATAAATTTACTTTGAAACGACTTTAAAGTCTTATCAAATTCTCTTTACGTTGTATGCTAGACTTACTTAGGTATACCAGAATGCATTGAGGGTAAAGGAATCCCGCAGGAAACCCGTACAACGGGAAAAACGGACGAAAAATTAAATTGCCGAATGAGTCATTGCCGAACATAAAGAAAGAATATATGTCAGTACACATTTCTCGAAGTTGATTTTGATAGATTATTTTTTGTACATATGTAGGCTGTCGTTTCCTAAAAAACGTTCGGCACTTTGGCCGGTGATAGAAGTATGAATAGCTGATGTGTTTTAGTCGACACACTGAACAAAACRAAATCAAAACAAAACCAATACAATTAGAATACACAAAAAAGAAAGTTAATGGACCAATTTTAGTTTACGAGCTGCTTAAGAACTTCAAAGGTCCTTTCACTGGATGTGAACTCTTAGACAATGAATATTTCRCATCCAGTGAAAGGACCTTTTTATAATCGACAATCTACATGCTTTATTCAACGCAAAGCAAGTGGAAATACCAAAAACCAACAGAAAAAAATTATAAGAAACATAAATTAGTAAAAGAGACAAAAAGATGCCACAGGGAGTCCAACCAAAGAGTTCAATTATAGTACCCGTGGGGGAGGGTATGGGTAATGGCTTGCAAGTGGCTTTTTGTTGATAYTTTTGATGCTCGCAAAAACCCTCACTTTTTACAACAAAAACCAAWCAAATTACACCATTGATACGTATTTTTCTTGCTCTTTTAGAATTTGGTAGTTTTAACCTTAAAATCCAAAATTGTGGAATTTCCGCATCTGGTTTACCTCTTGGGATCGGACTTTTTTTAGGTGGAGTGTCGGATCGAACCAAAAAATTACTGTGGAATTTTAACTCAAAATCAATGCAGAAATTCTAGCATTACTTGAAGAATTGCTTTGACGCAGTTAATTTCAGAAATTAATGGAAAACATGGCTTTTATGAGAAGGAAACGGTTAAGGGTACACAGTGAGAATGTGGGGAATATATACCACTTATTTTACCATTTCTTTTCACCTTTATCAAACAATGAATAAGAAATAACATGTTTAAAATTCGTCAATTGTGAGCGCCATACCAGATCACATGCTAAAGCAGAAAGAATGCAGTAGTATAGTAACCATAGATACCACAATGGGTAAAAAAACTATTTATTTCAAAGGGATGGATATTCTGATATGCTGTACGGTCTCACCGCGTTAATGCTATTCAAGTGAATACAGAAAACGTGAGTCATCTTTTTTAAATGACTGTTTAAAAAAGATGTGTGTTCGATTGAAGTATGGGCTGCCTGTGGTGCGACAAATGTCCAGATACCACAGGGAGCCCAACCCCTTTTCTATAATTATTTTGACTCAAAATTAAAGTGCTACTACGACGAAAATCGCTCAAACTTGGATAAACTTCCTAAGAATACTCTTTAAAGGTCCAATAATCACTGTATGAAGTGTTTTCTCGATATTCAGTACGAAAGTATGATATTTTTACGATTATTTTTTGGAGTCTGTGACGTCATACACTCAACATCGAACATCGCTCCATACATTTCTTTGTAGTTTATGATCAAAATATCAGTAGTAAAGGGAGAAAGAAATACCCAAACACCCCAAAATATAAATTATAGTCACAAGTAATGTGAAATAAGCACATTAGCCACCCTTTTGGCTCCATAGGAATAAAATAAATTAAGGATTTATATACAAAGAAATGTATGGAGCGATGTTCGATGTTGAGTGTATGACGTCACAGACTCCAAAAAGTAATCGTAAAAATATCATACTTTCGTACTGAATATCGAGAAAACACTTCATACAGTGATTATTGGACCTTTAAAGAGTATTYTTAGGAAGTTTCAGCTGAATCCAAGTTTGAGCGATTTTCGTCGTAGTAGCACTTTAAACGCAGCCTGTGAAACTGACMTCTTTTCTCTTTCAATAATAAAGACATATATGAAGTTTTTCACATCTGATTAAAAGGACCTCTGAAGCTCATCTAAAATAACTCCTTAACCATATTTCTCCATTACGGAATCCATTGAAAGGACCTTTTCATATAATTTTAGTCAACGCAAAACGAATGGAAACGCTCTATGTTTTGAACGAACCAACACACAAAATAAATCAACTCTTAAAAATCTTAAAAAGAAGCGTAATGGACGACTAYATGGTTTGGGAGCCGATTAGGAGCCTCAAAGGTGCTTTCCGGGGATGTAAACTCCATTAGACTATGACTATTTCACATCTATTGACAGGACCTTTTTCATAATCCAGAAATTTAGTCAACGCAAAACAAATCAAAATTCTCTATCAGTTTGGACGAACCAAAAGAAAATAATAATGATCAAATAGTTAAAAATCTTGAAACTTCACGGACAAATATGGTTTAGGCCGGTAGTTAGTATATCTAATATACTACCGGCCTAAACCATATTTGTCAATGAAGTTTCAAAGCAGACGAAGGTCTTTTCATTGGATTTTCACATCCATCGAAAGGACCTTTTTTCATAATCGATAAGTTATGTGTTTTAGTCAACAGAAGAAAAAAACAAATAGAAGAAGAAAAAAAGATCAAAGAAGGGAGAAAATGCTACAGAAAGGCTACCCCAAAAGTCCAATTGTAGTACCCGTGAGGGAGGGTGTGAGTAATGGCTTGTAAGTGGCTTGTTGTTGATACTTTTGATGCTCGTAAAAACCCTCACTTTTTACGACAAAAACCAAACAAATTACACCATTGATACGTATTTCTCTTGATCTTTTAGAATTTGGTAGTTTTAACCTTAAAATCCAAAATCGTGGAATTTCCGCATCTGGATTTCCTCTTGGGATCGGACTTTTTTTAGGTGGAGTGTCGGATCGAACCAAAAAATTATTGCGGAATTTTAACTCAAAATCAATGCAGAAATTCTAGACTTACTTGAAGAATTGATTTAACGCAGTTAATTTCAGAAATTAATGGAAAACATTACTTTTATGAGAAGGAAACGGTTAATGGTACAGTGAGAATGCGGGAAATATATAACACTCATTTTACCATTTCTTTTCGTCTTTATCAAGCAATAAATAAAAAATAACATGTTTAAAATTCGTCTCTCAATTGTGAGCGCCATACCAGATCACATGCTAAAACAGAAAGAATGCAGTCGTATAGTAAGCATAGATACCATAAAGGGTAAAAAGAAAGTCTTTATTTCAAAGGGATGGATATTCTGATATGCTGTACGATATCACTGCGTCAATGCTATGCAAGTGAGTACAGAAAACGTTGGAAATGTTGTTAAAATGACTGTTTAAAAAAGATGTGTGTATTTATTATACTTTGATTAAAGTATGGGCTACCTGTGGTGCGATGAATGTCCAGATACCACAGGGAGCCTAAACTCTTTTCTATAATTATTTTGATTCAGCTTAGAAAAAAGATTGCGATTTTAAAATGATTCGAGTACGCGGCCTGTGGACTGGCCTTTTTTCTAGCCTCTTTCTGTTTAAAAAAAAGATGCATATGTTAATTTATTTACACCCATTAAAAGGACATTTTTGTCCGTTATCCTTTAATATAATGCAGTTTTCACATTAATTATCGGTTACTGCTGCTCAGGGGTTTAAGAAGCGTTCAGACGCCAATCACATTCTATTTCCCATGGAAATTTTCTATTCTTCCCGCGCTATTCTCTCTTACATCTTTTTATTATGTTGACTGATTGTTTCTCTCAATACAATCTCTTATTTTTCCGCACATTTTCCTCTATTTTCTGCAACATCCCGTTTCTTCAAACTGGAATGAAACGTAAGCACTTTTTTGCGCATTTACTTCGCCAGTGAAAGCCGAACTCGACGTGTATAGGAACTTTTTTTCCGTCGTGAAAATTTTGAAATAGTGATCAAAATGTCAGCATAATAGCTTAATTTAGGTTGCCTTAATCTGAGATTGATAAATGATTTTGAGCAAGTTTCAGAGACATCACGGTATCAGACACTGGTTTTCCTATGACTGTACATTATAATCTTTTTATTTGGGAGTGGTGAAGGACGTCGGCAAAATTAGTCGTGCGCAAGCACATAAGTAAAGTTGTGATTTGCGGGTGCGTATGAGAAAATGTTGGAGGGGCAGGGATTAACAAATTCCCACATGCTCCATGCTTTTTGTTCCTTAATGTCTTAAACTTTTACAGTGATAAAGACCTCAAGCTCTTGAATTCTCTACACACGGGTAACGCAAATGTCATGTGTTCAACATATACTTCAATAGAATACTGAGCACACAGAGTCGTCTATCATTGAATCACTGTACTTGAGATTTTAACACACACAAATAATAGCAAAAATAGCCATTTTGAAATCTTTATTCTTCACAAAATTCAAACAATAAGCCAYCTTTCTTGATTAATCTAAAAAAATAGCTATTATTTCAACAAAAATATATTACAATAATATTACGAAATATATTACTTCATATTAAAATACTCTGAACTTATTTAAGATTATTCTACTGATCCAGTTATAATCTCAATACAAAAAGGAACAATTTTAAATATTTAGAACCTAGTTTATAGTGTTTTTAACACAGTAAAAGTTAGCTATAAATCTGTTAATTTTGGACCATTGGTCACTGATGAAATAATGATCTTTGACATTAAATGGCTGTTAATGACTTCATGATAGAGATAGCAGCCGGTCTGTAACTACTGCCAAAATGGTTCCTGAAAAAAAAAAGAAAAATTGAAATGACATAAAATAAAATTTGGGGAGAATTATGAGATTTCCGAGTTTCTGCAGCTTTTCTGCATGGTACTCAGTGGTATTCATATTCATGTGTCGTCTCATGCACAACTGGTAAACTAAGAAATTATATTCTAGGGAATGACATGTGGTCTAAAATGGGAAAACATTACACCCAAGGTAAAGAGGTCTATTTTCTAAATATCATCTATGAATAGCATTTTGTTGTTGTTGGTTGAAAACAACCTAATATTTCCAGACAACACAAACAGGAATGGCTGGCCAGGAAATTTTCCTTTCCACAAAACAATAAACTTCTTACAAAGATTCACCTCACCCCACCCCACCTCACCTCACCTCACCTCATCTCACCCTGCCTCGCCTCACCTCGCCTCACATCACCTCACCTCTTCTTACCTCACCTCACCTCACCTCACTTACATCACCTCACCTCACCTCACCTCACCTCACCCCAATCCACCGCACCCCACCCCACCCCACCTCAGTTACATAATCTCACCTCTTCTTACCTCTCCCCTCCTCACCCCACCCCACCTCACCTCACCTCTGCATGCTCGTTAGTGCATGAGGCCTTGATACTTCTTACTAAGATTTAAGATCCAGTACTGCATACAAAACTTGTGTAAAGTTGACAGCTTACCAGTGATTAATATAGTGAAACAACTGGTAAAGTTTCTGCCTTTCTTCAAATCCAGGAGCCTTGGGAATCAGTTGGTGATAAGCATTGTAGAACTCAGTACTAAACCCTCCAAACATTCCAGCAATTGCCAACTCAAATTCATGATGTCCATAGAAGGAAGCAGGATCAAAGATAACTGTTGAAAGTGATGACATTCAGAAGATAAAATATGAGGATGATGGCGAATTTTTGCAGATTTTAAATTGTTACAGTTTACACTAAAGCTATAGATAAATACCTGGTCCTGAATCAATCTCTCCCACATTACCACCCCAAAGGTCACCATGAAGAAGGGAAGGTTTGATTTCCAAACCAGTAAAATATTCAGGGATTTTAGTCTTAAGCTTTGCCCAAAAATCCTGGAGTTCCCGGTCTTGATTCTGAAGAAGACAATATGTGTAAAAGAGATTAGCTGCTGCATGAAAACATGTAAGAGTGTGTGTCTTTAAAACAAGAGACATAAAGTGAAGCCACCTTAGAGTGTCACACAGAAAAAATTCTCACTCAACTTGTCTCATGAAAAAATAGTTGCAGTTGCACAAGGCCATGTCACATGCACAATTTTGGTTGCAATGTCTTTTGGGAAAAAATGCTGCAAATCAGACCCATAATTTGAATGTTGCACATAATTTTTTGTTGCAAAAAGTACAAGCCCATTCTAATTTTTGTGCAGCCATAAAATGAAAAATTCAAGTTGCCCAAGGGTGAGGGGATGTCAAAGGTGAAAAATGCATGTGCAACTTGCCAAATGTTTTTGTGAGACAAGTTGTAGTGCATGACATATCATTCCATGTGATACAGCCTTACGGAGAGAGAGTCGTAACTCAGCTGTCAACAACTTTCAATATTCTACRTACCTCTTTTAACACCATTTGAATCCTATTTTCCAACCTCTGATTTACATAAAAATCCTGTAGAAATACAAATTCAAAAGAATAAGTCCTATTAAGTTGGATGGAAAAATAAATTCAGGCTTCCCACTACTGAGAGATGAAAAAATTACAGGACTTTCCAAGGCATAAATATAAAAGTTCCAGGGCCCAGAACTCATATGCTAAGTCACATTTACAAAAAGAGAGCTGTGTAACAACCCCGTGAAATTTGTCTCACTATGCCATTGCAAGCAAGTTTCAGCTAAAAGTTTCAACGTGTAACAGGGTCTTTAATCAACCTCCAGTTAGCCACCTTCTATTGAAACCTACCTAAGTGATTATGCTTGGCTAGGTTACCTAAACTTTAATTTTGGTATGATTTAAGAGCACTTACATTGGGCATGTTAGATATATTTCATTTTGGCAGATGTATTTGTAGGCACATGCCCTTCAGCTAGAAAGGTGTTGTTTTTCTTATGAAAATTTGATTTTCAACCCCTCTCACTCCACCTCACTTTTCATTTTGTTCCACTGCAGATATCATATTGTATTCTGACATTTACCATCCAGTCATCTTTCCATTCATTCGTTAGGGAAATATATCCACAGCAGGTAGCTCCAGTGAAACCAAATTTGCTAACAGCGTCACTGTCTCCCTTGTTTAGTTTCTCTATGTTATGCAAATGCAGTCTAAACAAAGAAGAAATCAGCAAAAGGTCAGAAATACATTCRTACCTCTATTACCTTTAGGATCTTGCTTTGTATCCATTGAAAAAGGGTGGCTAATTTATAGTAAATATAGAATTAAGAAAATGTATGTAATTCTTCCCTAAAATCAGTATACCAATAGACCTTTCCTGAATACGCTTGGATGACCATGAAACAATGGTATGGTTTAAAGTCGAGACTGAAATTGATTCTTTTATTCATCAAGTTCAACCTCRACTTSAAACCATTGHTTCRTGATCAGTCAAGCAAATTTGGGAAAGGGCTATTCAATTCAGTGCCAATTCACGGCCATACATTTTGTTCCATGTCATCACCTCGCCAATTGCTGTCCAAGAGCAGCTTGAAAACCAGGATTTTTCAGGCCCCTAAGGTCAAGATGTTCCATGACTAGCATTGACCCATTTCCTTCAGGATAGTCCAACACCTACAAGAGGAATGACGACCAAAATCAAGCAATCTTTTAGGTATATGTAAAAAAGGGTAGATCTAGGTTTGATTTTGGGATGGGTGTGAAAGTTAAAATCTAAAATCTACCAGCTTTGGCTGTTATATCACAGCATGGGACAATCACAAAGAGAACACTGAGTTCAGCATGCTAGGTGAAAGCACAAAGATGGGATTGGAATTTAGTAGTTGATTTTTTAAGGAAGGAGAAAAACCAGAGAACTTGGAGAAAACCCCTCAAAGCACAGGACTCCACCCTAGGTTGCAATGCTTGAGCTTGGAAATGAGTTGTGTTATAAGAGAAATTTCTAACTAGATCCGTTTTGTGGTTCYTCTCTTGTAAAAAGTTTTTTTTGTGCCTCAGAAATTATGTTTTGCACATGGTTGCTTGGTATTGCTGGGTATTGCTGGGTACATGCAGGAATTTGTGCTCATGAGTACCTGATATTTCCTACCACTCCACTGACCCCCTCTCCCCAAACCTAAAAAGGTATTAAGTTCATTTTAAAGTTGTCTTCTGTGTTTAAGGAACTTGAAAGGAGGGGGGGTAACAAGCTGGTCCCCCAAACCTACCCCTTCCTGCTTATTTTTAGCTATTGCAAAATCTTTGGAAGACAAAATTTACTCATTAAAGGCTGTTTACACTAGCAAATTTTGCAGTGCGATTCTYGCCAGGACCGAGTTGCATATAATGTAAACATTGTGTGATTCTCACAACGATTTCACTGCAACTTGAGCGTGCTGTTGTGGTTTTAGTAAAGTACAAGGCCTAGTATTCGATGAAGTTAAAGAAAGAGTAGATATTATCTCTAGTTATTGGTGTACTAGTGGTCTTTTTCTGTGGAGTCACCCATTCTCTTATACCTGTTTCTTCTTCTTCCTCACTCCAGCTTGCTTTTTTTAATGATTTCCCTGCTTTTTTCAACTCTAACATCTCCGCCTCCATGTTTACAAAACAGTRCAAAATTCCACCCGAGTGGGGTGGAGAGAAAAGATTTTGGTACTTTCTGTGAAAAATCGCCGCGATAATTTCGACCATGTTCAAATTCACTGCAATTATCTCGCGAGAATTGCCAGCAGAATYGCAGACCATTTACACAGGTGAATTTATAATGGTAATTGAACTGAGTGGAGTGTAATTTGGTCTGAAATCAAACGCGCGATTACAAAATCGCAAGATCGTGTGATTTGTAATTGCAAGTTCAATTACCATCATAAATTGCACTCCACTCAGTTCAATTACTGAAGAAATAGAAAACATGCGTGCATGCTGTGTGCTGTCATAAAGCACGCGGGGGTTGGCAGAACGCGAGAGAAGTGTTAGGAGAAGCACAAATCAAAATACAAATTACAATAATAGATAGGAATGACGCAACGGAAAGTGCGCGTGCGTGCGTGCAATGTGCTCTCATAAAGCACGCGCTCCAAACCAATCAGAACGCGACATTCATAACAGTTATTTTATAACATTTATTTATTTAGCATGCAACTCGGTCRCAACGAGAATCGCACTGCAAAATTTGCATATCATGGAAAAATTTTGAAGCGCTTGCAAAAATGATAGATTTTTCTTTGGAGAGTATCTTAGTGATACGAGATTGAATGCGCATATTTTCTTCACGGTAAATGACCGTTTGTTTACCTTGACTGGCCTCGGGACTCGCACAGTATTCGTCTTCATCAGTGCTTCAAGCGAGTTTAACTCCCCTTCAAACATCACCCTTGACTAATGCAAACAAAAAACAAATTACACAAGACTTWAAAATGCAACCACCCCAAAAATCCCCAAGGGAATTAAAGCCGAAAACTTCTGCAAAGAAAACTCTGCAGCAGAGAGAAAAATCAAACATACTCCAGTATGTTTGTTGGTCTTCACAAACACAACTCCAGTGTGATTAATAATACTTTATTCAAAAAAATGCAGATTACATATTTTGAAAAGGAAGACATTGAGGTTAGCCCTATATAAGTCCCCTATATAAGTCCCCTGTCTGTCTTGAAACTCTGTCCCTCGTTAATGCATCCTCCCCCAAAGTGACCTGTGTATTCCAAAGTTTTAGTATTAAGTTCTTGTTTGAGGAGTTTTTCTAGGATTTCGTTTGACAAGACACGCGCCATGTTTTCTTGGAGTAAACGAGCCTGTGATAACAGCACCCAGCAGCGTTCTGTACAGAGAATGCGCAGTGCAAACAAAGCTCATTCAAAAAATGGCGCGTTTTGATGTAAAGGAATGTCAAACTTTACCAAACTTTATCTGCAGTAATTCTTGATTTTTAACCCAAGTTTTGATATTCAAAGCTTATATGTTAATACTTTGATACATTGGATTGCTCGTGGATGGAAGATTTGGACAATATCGAGGATTGTTGTCATGTGATTTGTGAGCTATTGTCTTCATGAAGGTGAAAACCTTTCATTTTGTTTTGAAGAGAAATCAAGCTTACGATCTTTCTGTTCCTTCGATCTAGCTTTAAATAATATCTCTATGGATTAGAGGATCAAGGTTATAGAAATATGGATCCTTTATCTTGGAGCAATGATAAATCCACAGGGTATCAGAAAGAGAACAGCCCGCCAGGTGCGTCGGATGTTCACGAGAATCCAGGTGCAAAACTATTAGCCACAGCTGATGTCCTGTCTTTAAATAATTCAAATCAAGGACAAACGGCTGCGTTCAAGCCTTTCCAAGAAAATGTTAGAAAACTTGACGATAATATAGGTAAGTTCTGCCATATTCACTTGTACTTCGTACGATCTTGTATATTGTCATTTGTTGATCTTATCAGACAATTTTAAATCATTATCTTTAATCTTTGTACATATACTCACATAAAAAAGTTAACTTGTTTTCCTYATAGTTCAACAGCTACAACAACCTCTTCAACCAAGGAACAGCCTTATCCAAACAAACAAGCAAAATGAAAAAGTTCAACCAGAGTTGTTAAAGAAATTTAGACAACTACGTCAATGGCAGCAGCAACAACAAGAGAGCATGTATAAACAACAACAGGAGCAAATGGCAACCCTCAAAATGCAACAAGAAAAGCTACAATTGCTGTACCAGAAGGCTGTGGTTAGTACTGGATCACCTAGCACAACAGCTAACGGTCCTGGAGACTGTCAGAGAACAGGCAAGCCATCTCCGTTCAACAATACAAATGGAAAAGAAATAAATGAACAAAAAAGTAATACCTCAATGGAATCATTTTTCAAGTCTTTAAAAACCCAAGAAAAGATAGAAACATCTTTGGTTAATCCAGCTTCGTATGTTGGACAACAAGACATCTATCACATACAGGGATCGCCACCTAGTAATTCCTGTGCACAAAGTCCTGTACTAATGACTCCAATGCAGTTCATGAGTCCAACTTCTTACAGTAGACCTCATATTTGTAGTCCTGAAGATTTTGGTCTGAGTGGACCTACTAATCCTTTAATGCAGCAGAATGCCCTGAATCAAGTAAGTTTGTTAATCTTTAACATAGGAAAAAATCCCCATCCCCCTCTGTCTCCAATTGATTGATACATGCTACCAAACCTTGATGATGTATATCTAAACTAATTTTTTTCACCATCCCTAACTTCTTATTTGGGCCAGTTTTGAAAAGTTATGCAAACTTTAGCCAATGATGAAAGAGCAGGATTCAGGATCATACTGACTTTAGCCAATCACAATATTGTTTCATTCCCAAGAGTTGTTGATATCATTTAAGTTGGTTTTCAGAAACATAATCAGATCTAGGCTTCGATCATTGCTTGCTCCTTATTTATTAAGTCTGTCTTACCCTGGAATGCATTGTTGTTTTTGTTCTCTGTTATAATTGATTAACTTTGTTGTCTCAGTAAGATAACTGTCTGCTTTGTAGTTTAGTTACCTTTAGACTAATCTTTATTATGACTTTAAAAATACTATGTTTCTTCAAGTCTCCCAATCAAGCACTACAGAGAAAAATTCCAGAATATGAGAAAGAAAGAGACTATGATGCAATGTCCTTAGAGGATCAAAGTGATCTCGAATCTCAACCTGATTACCAATCTGATTGTGATACAATGAGTGGGGTTTATCCCATCGAAGATGATGTCTCTGAAACCTGCAGCACAGAGATAGAGAATGAGCAAAGAAGAAAGGATGTTGAAGAAGAAGAAGACCAGAGTGATGAAGATGGGAATTCAGACCTGGAAAATACTGTCCGTGAAAGGGTGGATCCTGGTCATACCAAGGTAAGATTACTATGTGAGAATGTGTGGAGGAATTTTTGCACTTTATGAATAATAATTATATATGTAAGCTGAGCTGAAAACACAACAAAATTTATGAAAACATATGTAAGCTGAAAACACAACAAAWTTTTTTTTGTTCTGTTCTCAGGCTGCAATGAATGATGAAGAACGTCCAATCAACCCTGGAATAGGTAAGGTTGATGAAAATAAGTATATCAATTAAATAGAGGTTCAAATTACATTGATTTTGAATCATTGATGATGGTGATGATGTAAAGACATGGTGGACTTGATGGTACTCAGGGTAACTATAATGAGTAGTGATTAAATTGATTGATGATGATGATGCTGATGATGATGACAAAGCTTATGATAATAGTAATAAAATATGAGGAYTAATTTTAATGACTTGACATTTTGGATCTATTTTAGGTGCTGCTAAAGCTACTACATTTGAAGAACTCTTGGAAAGAGAACTGTCAAATGAACAGGTAAAAGATTGACTAGCATTAATTTTTACTCTTGAAGGTTCAAATTGCAACTTCAAATCAGCTTTTCCATGAGCRCCTCTTTCCTACTTCTACCATTTTTTCACAAGCATTTTTAGGATTTACATTTTATTAATACTTGTTTCTCTCATTTTAAAGAACCAAGGTACACGACAAAACTCTCCAAGTCCAGTCAAACCACAAAAGAAATTCCTAAGAAAAGGTCAAGGCTTAGCACGATTCAACATGAAGCCAACAAACCTAAACAAACAAAAAACTGTCAATCAAAAACCATCTTCAGGCCTTCCTTCATTACAGCAGGTGTCAAGAACGCATAAAGAAGAAAGAAATATAATGAATAATCCTCCTGTTAGACAAGAACCTAAGGGGTCTTCTAAACAGCTGCTGGCTGTACCTCAAAACAAGGTAAAGTATTTAGAAAATAAATTTTTTCATTCACAGGCAAATGAATAAAATAAATAATTTTTTAAAATATGTGGTATGCTTTAGAGTCATAAGCTAGTGGAGCCATGTATTTTCCATACACAATCATTACTACTTGTGAATATTCTATTGACACACACCACTCTAAACTCACATGTTGATTTTTATGGAGGGAGGGAAACTGGAGAACCCAGAGAAAAACCCTTGTGGCAAGAGAGAGGATGACACATCAAACAAACTCAATTCACATGTGGTGTCTGAGGGGCTCGAACCAGCGACCTGACCATTTGGACTGAGCGGTGAAAGATGATGTATTAGCAGCGTATGTCTCGAGGGCGAGACACTTGCCTGTTGACTAGTTCCCCGACTTGGGAACATAGATGAAGTAATGAGACTTGTAGTATGACATACTCTCATTCAATCAAGAAGAGAGCATGATTAGGGGAGTCTAATATGATTTGTCTTTTGTCTTCAGGTTCAAAGGAAGATTGCTGGGAGAACAGCACCCTCTGCACCAAGCAATCAACTTCCTAAGCCATCTTCCCAGGCTTATGGTTCTAGTGTGCTAGCATCACGTGTTATTGGACCATTCAGCTCTTTGGCTAATGGCATACCTATCACCAAGACAACAGGAGCTGTTACCAAGACAACAGGAGCTGTTACCAAGACAAAAGGAGCCGTTACCAAGACAACACTCACCTCTGTTAGGTATGTTTATAATGGGTTATTGAGATAGATGATAGATTAAATAATGGATGGACTGATTAATTTATGGATGGTAAAATTAAGGGATAGATGATTGATATATAAATGGTAGGATGGATAAAATAATTAATTGCATAGATATGGATGGATGGATGGATGAAGAAATGGGCAGATGGAGAAATGGATGGCAAAATGAGTGTATGGATGTATAGGTGAATGGATGGATAGATGGTAATGGATGGATGGGAATAGATGGGATAGATGGTAATGGATGGATAGATGGTAATGGATGGATGGGAATAGATGGGATAGATGGTAATGGATGGATAGATGGGAATGGATGGATAGTTGGGAATGGATGGATAGATGGGAATGGATGGATAGATGGGAATGGATGGATAGATGGGAATGGATGGATAGATGGGAATGGATGGATAGTTGGGAATGGATGGATAGTTGGGAATGGATGGATAGATGGGAATGGATGGATAGATGGGAATGGATGGATAAATGGGAATGGATGGATTTTCCAAAAGGGTAAATTAGGATATCATTTCCTATGCAATGCTATGTTGTTTCTTTACAGGAGAGATGGATCACCCTTACTGTCTCCTCTTACCAGTTTAGATCTTTCCTTTGACAAACAAGAAAAAGAATGGGAAGAAATAGTAAGCAATTTCCGTTCTCTACTAACTTCTAGAGCATTTACAAGTCAAGAGAAGGAATCACTTCATTAAAAAAAAATGTGTTAACAGCTTGTGTTTTTCTTGTTTTCATCAGAAAGAGGATGAAGACCTTGAGGAGTTTGAAATGCTTGAACAGGCAGCTGCTAATGCTTCATTCTCGTCTAACTCATCCCTCGTTGTCAAGGTCCTAGAAAAGGCGAGGTCACAAAAGCCAGGACATCAAACTGCTTTTGTCAGGAAAATGGAGAATATTGTTACAACAAGCAGAGGTAGGGCATTTGATTACACATCATTTAAACCAGTTTGTGCAAAGATAATTATTCCCTTCTAACAACATTTTTGCAATGCCTAAAATGTTAGGTACATTATTTTGAACATTTTCATGTTTATCTGAAATTAATAGGAGGATTGGATTCATATTTCGTAGTTGCTTTCACAGATATTCTATCATCAAAACCAGTTTGGGCACAAATTATCAATTTTCTCTTGCTAATTAAATTGCACAAAATCTGGCAGTCAGTCCTGGAATTACTGGAGAAGCATTTATAATTTTTAATATCTATTGAATTAATGGTTGATAAAACAAACTATTATGAATTTTTTGGCTGTTTGGTTTTGTCCACAGATTCCCAGGTGMCCAGTATCCTAAGTCCTGTAGACACAGGCTATGGCAGTGGAGAAGGAAGGGGTAGCGGCTCAGTTATTGTTGGTAGTCAGGCAGGCAGCATGTCGTCTGTTGAAGATGCCAGCACAACAGGTAAAAACTTTGTCAGATACCTCAGCACCCTCCCCTCCCCTAAAGATGTATCTAACCTGGACACAAGTGAACAAAAATCAGAAATTTTCTCTGGTACTTGTATCAGGATTTGGTTTGATGAAGTGCGCAATGACGCTTGTGTTTGCACTTGTTAGTCCTGTGTTTCTAGTTACATTGACCCAGATTTAAAGTGATTCAAAGTTCGTTATTGTCTGATTGACATGATTATATCGACAGACAATGAAAGCAATGAAGAAGAAGAAGACGATGATAACGATACCACATTACAAGAGATAGACTCATATGACGATGAATCCTCTTCCCCTGGCACTGATCAACTCCCCCATCATATGAACCAACCTCAACATGGATCTTGTGCTCCAGGTATTAAAGACTTCCTTTGGGGAATCAATTTACATGTTAAATATTCTATTTCTACAGTTATTTTACCAATCCTTTTCTTCTATAGAGGCTTCAGTACAATCGTCAGTTCCTGCATTGACGTCACCAGATGAATTCGATGACCAAGAAGCCTGGGGAGAGATAAAAGCGCAAACGAACCAAAATGACACCGACAGTGATGAAGACAGCGATGATACTGACGTCACCATTATTGACATATTTCCATTAAACACTTCCCTGAAAACGATTATACCACGTGATTCAACCAACAGAAGTGAATATCAGCAAACGAGTAGTCCTGGTAACAAGAGTGACGTCACGTCCACTCCTCCGACCTCTGCACTGGTGTCAAAGCTTTTCCCTAAACTAAAACCAAAGCCGAAGGTAGCAATTAACAACTTGAGAAATATAGAAACTTAGCTTTTCTGTTCATCTGACTTTAAGTACGAAGAAAATTTATTCAGCTATGCCGATGAAATACATATATGATTTTGAAAAAATATGCGGGGCAAGGTAACGGTGTGGTTTAGCCCGCGTTCGTTTGTTTGTTTGTTTGTTTTTGTATTCGTTTGTTGTCTTTTTTTTTTTTCACGTTCGTATTCACGTTCGTATAAAATCCACATTATGTATCGTGCCATGTCCCAGCACTCGCATTGGACAGAAAGAAATCTTGCGTTCTGATGCACTAAACTCCGTATCTTGAATGTACCATCTGTAATTTTCCTCACAGACTCTATGTTGAAGTTAGTGCTTTGCTAGTCTATTCCTTTAACTTTGTCGCTCCATGTGTAGGTTGAAGAAAACCAAGTCAACAACCCACCTACTGTCCCTGTTGTAACAGACAGTGGACCATGCAGAGAAGTTCAAGAGAAACTAAAAGAACTCGAAGAAGAGATCAGCAAGTTCCGTACTGAGAACAAGGCGTTGGCCAAGATAAGAAACGAACGAGACGAGGTACCACTAAAACTACGCTTATTTTTTTAGTCCCGGCATATGATATTTTTTCTCTTGTGTTGTTTACTGCACTTAGTTTAGTTTGACTGATGATGTCAGCCGATTTTAAACCCCGTTGAGGTCGGGTTTTTTYCCCCTCCGATTGATTTTCTATGCACAGCGCTCGCTCGGAATTTTATCATTGGGTTACTTCAGCAGTACAACTTATCTTTACCTAGTTTTGCGCAATAAGGACCTTTTTAACAAAACAAAACAAAAAAACCATGAGTAAAGAAAATCAAGAAATGGTAGATGAAAAGTTAAGCATATTCAAAATAAGGCCCCTCAAGATTATGGATGAATTCGCTCAAATTAAGATCTTTGTATTGTGTCAGGGTCTAAAGAGATTCCAGAAAGAAATCGATTCGTTCGAAAAACAGAAGACAGAGGAATTAGAGCGTCTCGAGAAGTTCAGAGAAGAAGAAATGCAGAAGCTACGGTGAGTCAGAGAACGAGAACTAGAGAAAGAAGGTGGATAGTACAAGGTGCAATAGCTCAAAAATCATAATCTTGTATTTTTAATTTTTTTTTTTTTTTTTTTTTCCTAGACGAGAACAAAAGACATTTGAAAAATTTTCAAAAAGCAACAGAAAAAAACCTGATAAGAAATGCAGAAGCTACGGTGAGTCAGAGAACGAGAACTAGAGAAAGAAGGTGGATAGTACAAGGTGCAATAGCTCAAAAATCATAATCTTGTATTTTTAATTTTTTTTTTTTTTTTTTTTTTCCTAGACGAGAACGAAGGACATTTGAAAAGTATCAAAAAGCGACCAGAAATAATCCTGATAAAAAAGAGCGCGAAGAGATAGAAGCACTACGATCACAGGTGTGTGGATATTTATTTGCATATTGTTGGAAGATGTGGTATTTTTATTTTCGCGGCCTGGAGTATGGAGCACACTTTGTGGTACGTGCCCTGTGCAACGCACACTGCGTATGGTGCGTTATACTGTTTGCCGAGCGTCGTAGAAGTTGCGCTTCATGCAGTATGTCATACATTGACAGCCTGGTGTGTTGTGCATTCACCGTAGAGTCCATTAAAAGTTTCGCTATTAGTTTTATTTGCGCTCAGTGTAGTTATTTTCTGGATTTTCAAGGCGTGATTAGAGTGGTGCGCGTAGTTCTATTACTCCATAGAAGCTGCGCTTTTCGTTGTGGCAAGACGACTGGCGTGTTGTAAGCTGTGTGTGTGTTTTTTTTTCAAGTGGTAACGATACTTTGTGGTGCATTACTGAAACAAATATTACATACATTTCCAGGCAGCAGAGTTGCAAGAGGAAATAAAGCGTCGTGAATCTCGATGGTCAGCGGCAAGTTCTCGGTATCGTAGCCGAATCGAGGCTTTGGAAGAACAGAACAAAGAGCTCCAGGAAGAAGTGAAATTACTGGAAAAATATCGACTGGAAAAATGGAGAAATGACGAAATGAAGGTTGGATGTTAATACGTACTGTTGCCGAATAAAGTGGTTTTCCGCACTTGCATCGTAGTCGGGATGAGGTTCGGAAGCAGTTCATGCATTAAATTGCAAGCGAACAGCACTTGTCATAAGCATAAATAAACACACGCCAAAAAAAGTAAACCTTCCGATTCCAAAGCGCTTCTGACTACGAAAATGACTCTCCTGATTTTCACTTTGTCATAAGCTACTTTCGACTCCGATTTAGATTCTGCCATTTGTGATAACCATCCTTAAGAAATATGAAATAAGAAAACAGCTCTAAGCCGGCTTATTATCTTTTGCATTTTCAGGCTAAGGAGAACGAAGAAGCAAAGCCAAGAGATGTGGCGCTCCGTAAGACCATAAAACCTGCAGAACCAGGTGAGATATCTTGTAACCTTTTAAAGGGATAAAAGGAGAGAAACAAGTTCTCACATTTTTTTAAAATCTTCTTCTGCAGCTAGGAACGAAGCCCTCAACCATCCACTAAACTATGAAGTGATGCAAAAAGAGGAAACTATCAGACAAACACCGCAGTACAAGCCAAGCCCTCTGAAAAGGTAAGTTGACAAAACGCCAAACCATAGCGGCGCGAGTGCAAAAATCTACTGATAGCTGGTTTATTAAAAATCTGCCCTACAAAAAATAAAAATAGAAAATAAATTCAAAAAAACCAGCCGAATTAATGACAGAAATTATTATCTGCTTACTTTTAAGACTTCCCTGTAGCAAGCGCGCATCTTTTCCTGTTAGCGTCAAAAAGTGGAAGTTCTTTGGCGGGAAAGGAACTCCCCGGCAAGCGCGCGTGCTTTCATGTTCGCGCCAAAACGGGGAAGTTACATCACATTATTGATTGTAGAGACTAACTGAAATGTTCATTAATATTTAGCCATGAAAACACAGCGATAGATATGAACAATAACAATAAGACAATAGCGAATGACTCGACCAGTAAACAGTCACCCCGAGGTAAAAGCATGGTAAATACAAGCGATGCTGGCCCAAAACAATCAGAGAGTGGAGAACAGTTGAAAAGCAAAAACAATATCACAGGAATTGCGTCAGTTATTCCTGGAATGAAGAGACTGGCTTTACAAGAAATTGAGCACCCGGATGGCAAGGTATGACAGCCAATTTTATTTAACAGCCAGTTGTCTCTTTGYGTGTCTCGGGAAAGCACTGATTATGTTCGACAAAGGATCGGTACTTTCTCGTGATCTGCTCGTAGCCTCATCGCCTTGCTCTGTTTCATTCAAAATTTAAACCAGAAAATGTTTTCTCCTTCCCATGTTTCTCGTCTTTTGGAGCGGATTTTGTTGACTTCGAAAAGCTTATACGTCGTAAGGGGAACCTTGTTGTAAACTGGCAAGCTATTTCGAGTCAAGGAATGAAGCTCGAGAACCCAGAGGGATAGGCGAGTGCACTATCGCCACAACACCGTTGTTCCCTTTAACCATATCACATAAAGGAGGAACCAGGTTTTACTACGCATTACCTTTTGTTTTTAGGTCGAACATGTAAAGCCTGATGGGTCACGTGTCATAATGTTTTCTAACGGCACAAGGAAAGAGATCAGTACCGATGGACAGACTATTATCGTGTCTTTCTTCAATGGAGACATCAAGCAAGTTTTCCCTGACCAGCGAGTGGTATGTACAGTGGTTACATCCGTGATCACAGGTGTACTTCAACAATATTAACCCTCTAACGCAGACATTCTTTGGTTCGTCACGCAACTTTTTCTCCCTAAAAGAAATATTGCATGACGACGTGACGACCCTAGTAACGTCTGCGTGGGAGGCCAGGTATCACTTACCTGAAGTAAGTCTCATGAATGTCCGCCTGTGTTTATACGCGGGTAAAACTGTGTGGGCAAACTCATCGTCTTATCTCTTAATACAAACTGACTGTGCACGGTTAAAATTTATTTTTCCTGAAAACATGGTGGTTGCACAAGAAAGGCTCGTATCCTTGCGCAATGTGAGTATAATAATGTCTATTTTTTATTACTCATCTTAGGTGTACTACTACTCTGATGCCAAAACAACACACACAACATATCCAGATGGACTGGAGGTTCTGCAGTTCCCAAAGTAAGACAGTAGTATACCAATTATAATTAGCTAAGTGATCCAAGGGAGTCCAGAATGATAAAATATTTCAGAGAGGCATTGGCATGGGTGTTGTTCTCGGTGTTTTTTTKGGGGGGGGAGGGGAGATGGCAATGGAAAAATATCATTATTCCATTTCAGGCAATTTCTCTCAATTTCCCTCTCGTTTTTGTTCGACATGCGTTCGTGGTGAACGGGCACAAAAATGGCGTGAACTTAATCCCCGAACCCCTCCCGTCATGGTACCTACACTAGCATTCTCTGATCAATGACGTTATACATTCATCTCTGTAGTAACCAAATCGAGAAACACTACGTGGATGGAACCAAAGAAATCATCTTTCCAGATCAGACCATCAAGTACTTGTACGTCGATGGCACTGAGGAATGCGTGTTTGCGGACGGTACCATCCAGCGCATGCGTGCTGGAGACGGAGAAAGAATTATAGAATTCCCCAACGGCCAAAGGGAGGTCCACACCAAACACTATAAGGTATTAATTACTACATCAACAGCACTTACACTAGTGAATCTCGATACTGGATGTCCGTTGGGTGTCCGTAGTGTCTGTTTCATGAAAAGTTGTTTGAAATACCTTGAAACGGACCGTGAATTCATTCTGTCATTTTAGATTTAGTTTAAAAGACATTTGAAGACAAATTCCAGAGGTGGTAGATATCGGGTAATTCCACCCCTCCCCTCTAAGTCGGGTCCTGCAAGATTACAATCGTATCGCTTTGACAATATCCCTTATATCGTCTTTAATCACCAGAGACGTGAATATCCAGACGGTACCGTCAAGACAGTTTACCCTGATGGAAGAACAGAAACAAGATACAGTACAGGAAGACTACGCATGAAAGACCGTGATGGGCGTGTCCTCGTGGACACCGCTGAACGACTACTGCAAGAATAAAGCGGGTTTTTCACCGTATGAGTGGGAACGACAGACTATGTTTTCTTAGTGGGAAGCGATGAGATAAATTCGTAGGACTTCGTACTTTAGCCGAGTCGTATTTTGCGGTATCCGTRACTGGATAAATATAATTAAAGATAGCTGAAGTCTTTTCTATGTTTTAATCGTTTCCTACTCATATAAAAACCGCTACAGTACCTGTAAATATCATATRAATATCTCTATAATTTAGACGAACAAGGATAAATAAATTATTTAGCTTCAATGGTATGTACAGATCGTAATTTATAAAACTGCAATATAAAGAGTGCATCACCATTTCCACTTTCGCGCTACATCGTTTTTAAAATGTATCAGGATATAACCAGAAGTCGAATCAATAAATACCATGAATGAACCTTGTTTTCCCTCCGTAATATCAGGATATATGATACCATTTCCATCCAGTAGTATTGGGATATTCGGTACCATTTCCATCCGGTAATAGCAGGATATTTGGTACAATTCCATCTAGTAATATCAGGATATTTGGTACCATTTTATCCAGTAATATCAGGATATTTGGTACCATTCCATCCAGTAATATCAGACTATATGGTACCATTTCATCCAGTAATATTATCAGGATGTTTGGTACCATTTCATCCAGTAATATCAGACTATATGGTACCATTTCATCCAGTAATATCGGGATATATGGTATCATTTCCATCCAGTGATATCGTTTATCTAGTAACATTGCACCTTTTAGTCTTATTCGGGCACGCAAGTGTACGCGCGCTCAAATTGTGCTTTATTACTATGACCACCACCTGAATTATAACCTTCAAAAAAATCCAATTTTGGACAAATTAAAGTTTGGCGGGAAGAATGCGATCTCTATTCTTGGGTTCCCTGTGGTAAACGCGCCCGCGATTTCTCGTACATTCCTGTAAAACAAAACAACGATTTTCAAACGGTCTTCGAATTTTCTCATTTTCTTCTAAAATCTTTTTATTTTCTTAACAACAACTACTTATATACCAGGTCCAAAAGTATCTGTTGTTATTTTAATTGAATTTTTGGGCATTTTTTAAAACGTGGAAGGAAATTTGGCGGAAATAGTAACAAGCATCGTCAAGGACGCCATTAACACGCTACAGTGAGCTCTATTATTATGATCTGGTTTGAAAGAACTGCTTGACTTTCTGCGAAAATAATATGGATCCAGGTAAAATAATGAATAATTTGTATTATTTTCATGACGATATCTTAGTCCTAGGCATAGAGAAGTAAATGTTAGCTTTTTTCCTGCTTGATGTATCGTGCAGAACTTTATAGTCTCAAATGAATTCAAGTTTGATCTTGTTTTTCTCTTCCTTTCGAAAAAAGGAAAAGCTCAATTATTTCTCCTAAAATTCTTTATCATTTGCAGTACGTTAGATATTACTAGCCGTGGTTTCAATACACTCGAAGATACGACAAAAGACGGCTTTATTTTGTCAAGAAGCCAGTACAAAAAGTGATAAGCTTGATTTCAAATCAGCTGTTTTCGTAAATTTGAATAAGTTAAATATCAAAAAAAGTTTGAATCTTATTTTATTTTATTTTATTTATAAGCTTACTATRATATACTTTAGTGATTTATATTTGAAATAAAAATCCTGGCTAGGATCATATTGAGTTAAGGTTTGTATATGTGTTCTCGTTTAATTGTTATTGTATTCAAAAGTTGGGAATATTTATTTTGTGAATAATYTTCAAGGTTCTGCCAAGAAAAAGAAACACAGAAGATCGAAATCTAACTTGCAAACTCAGGTATCTTAAGAAAATCAAAGAATATTATACTACCCTTTAAAGTTAAAAGTTCATTACAGCTATCAAAACTTCAGGGGGTATAAAATATTTTATATTATTCATCTAATAATCCCAAAAGAATCATATCTTTACTCAGGAAAAAAACTTACCTAATGAGCTTTTTATCCTCTTATGTCAAAATCCCACCATACTTGTGCAGCATGAAGCAGAATTTGGGTAGGGGTGTTCCGCTGGGATTCTGAAAGGGGTACCCAGCTGTTTATGACAAAAAAACCCAAATTTGTAGACCCTGTTCATGACAAAAGATATAATTAATTGCACTGAGTTCCCGTTTCAATTATCATGTCATCCTGGGTATCGTTTTTTTACAACCATAATAACCAGTTTCGGTCAATACGAAAGTAGAAACCCTGAATATGACAGGAAACTCAGGAAGAACTTTGAACTTGCATACCATGTTTATGACAAAAAGCTCGAAGAACCACACCCTGTTCAGCGGATCATCCCTGTATAGTCCATATATGGGAGTTCCCCCCCCCCCCGGCATAAAGGTTGGGGCTTTTCCAATTTTTAAGAGAATGACAATTTAAATTGCCTTAGTTAGAGTTTTGTTATGAAGAAAATTTTTTTCTAAACTGGAAATTTTACACAAATATATTTGTGCATGATATATTCCATGCTTCTTTTTTTTTCGAGTTTTGTTATGAAGAAAATTTTTTTCTAAACTGGAAATTTTACACAAATATATTTGTGCATGATATATTCCATGCTTCTTTTTTTTTCATTGTTTTCTTTTTTTCCTTTTGTCATTTTCCTCTAGGCTGAAATAGCAGGATCAACTGACCAATGTGAGTATCACTATCACACGATAATCGTGCGAATAATTGTTCATTAAACCCATACTGCAAAATAAATATTTTGAAATTTTAATGTTACAGAATTTTCTTTTTAATTAGGCTTCTTTCTCATGTTGTACGTTTTAAAAATATTCATTAATTCTTATAATAATAATTAATTATTGTAATTTTGTTTTTCAATATTGAAGTACTTTCAGGAGACAATGAATCTAAGGTGCTTAAAGCAAGACAAAGGACAAAAGCAAGATTTGAGTCATTTTTACAAGATGCTGTGTCAGAAAATAGGTATGGTGATTGAATTAATAAGATTAAAAATAAGCCAGTGAACACAAAGAGAAGCCCATCTGTTTATATGGTTATAATATTTTTTGTTATTTTTCTCTGTAGTATCCAAAGTTCTGGAAAAAAGAAGAAAAAGAAGAGGACACATACTGCTGATTCGGTGGTGAGATATTGTCATGGCATTTCTTTCAAATGCACTTGTTTGTTATTTTCAATGTTGAGAATCACTTTGCGATATTCAACATTGCACAATTATATGTCATGCGTATTGAAGGTGTACACTGAACTGGGTACAGTAGAAATTCATTCTTAGGCTAATTATTACTTATTTTATGGTGAAAGCAAGAATATTTCCAGCATCATTTGATAAGTGGAGTAAAGGGTGAGATATTATTTCCTGGATCCCATTTCCTTGGTATGGTAATGGTATGGACAACCTCATCAAATATGTATGTTTTAATTGCAGCTTGAAACAATCAGAACTGGTAGTCCAATAGCAAAGACACCATCCAAGTCAGAAGAGAGTCTTATCCAGGCAAATCTTTACAAAGAAGGTAGGATCTGTTCAAAATACTATTTATTTCATRTACACAGGCACATATATCATTTGTTATTTTGAACCACAATTGTAGAATTCATGATGGAGGAAGCACTCTGCATCACTGATAGTGCTGTGCAAGGCCTTCCTGAGAAATGAGGTATCCTGGCCACACCTACCAATGGAAGTGACTATCCCATTTTTTGTTGGTTAATTCGAGCCATAAAGGCCACATGTCAATCACTTGAGATAAATACAAGGCAAGATCCAGGGGGGGCAAAGGGGGGCTGAAGAAAAAAACGATGCTTTTTTATATTGTTTTCGGTTGTGTTGACGGAAGAAACTCAATTAGCTCCCCCCCTAAACTCAATTAGCCCCCCCCCCTAAAATTTTGGCTGGATCCACCCTTGAAATAGTCTTCATTTTACTCGTATCTATATTCAAGGGTCTTCTCAATGCACAACTGTTAAGTAAAGAAGCAATACTCTAGGGAAATACACATGGTCTGAAATGGGCAAAACATTATGCCCAAAGGTAAAGTGGTCTAATCAGAAAAAACGTTTTTTTTTTTCAATTGTTTTCACACACAGATCACACCACTCCAGGGAAAGAAAGCAAAGCAAGTTATAGATCATTGATGCAAGAAAAGGACAACAATGTACTCAGCAGTCAAGAGATCACACCCAAAAAATCTAAATCAAGAAGAGCAAAGTCCTCTCAAAATGGGTGAGTTTAACTATTAGTTGCCTCTAATAGCAGCAATAAATGTTATGATTGTTAATATAACAAATTAAAGTCTTTCTGTGGCCTGTATTAGCCATTCTGAGATTRAGAAAAACTTGGGTCGAGTTGGCTTTGCAGTGCATTGCGGGGCTGGTTTAGGGGACATATTTCCCAGATGGCAGCTTTATTAGCCCCAAAATCCACTGCTATGCCACAGAATCAACCCAGTTATTTCCTCAACATCGGAATGGCTAATTGTTGAAATTTTTGCTTTGTGGACACCTTAACAAGATTGAAATGAAATTCCTAATGTTTACTGTCAAATCTTTAGAGAGTTATCTGTGACCCCTGGTGAAAATGACCAGTCAAAAAGAAGAAAAAAGACACGTACCCCAGGAAAGYTAGCATTCAATGAAGACAGTGGAAAAGAAAATCTGGCATTTGAGGATGAAGACCAGAAACTTGTTGATGAGGTTTGCGCACTAAGATCTGCCCACTTATCCTCCTATTTATTCTATCTATTCATTTATCTACCCACTCCTCCATCCATCCATCTATCCTATTTTATTTATACATTTATGTACCTACTTGTCCATCCATCCATCTATCCTATTTCATCTATTCATTTATCTACCCATGCCTCCATCCATCCATCCATCCTATTTCATCTATTCATTTATCTACCCACTCCTCCATCCATGAGACATCAATTCACCTATCCATCCATCCTTTTTCCACTATCCATTTCTTTGTTTACGGATTCACTCAAGCATTCATTCATTATCCATTTTTTCATTCATATTGTAAATCTATTCACTTTTAGACTGAGGCCTCCAAGGCTTCAAAAAGTCCTAAACGAAGAGGAGAAAGAGTAAAAAGAAAGCTACATCATGGTAAATAAATAACAAGGAAATTATATTCCTTACTTGTAGGCTATGTCATCTCACTTATGTTGTAATTTTTGATCTGGAAGTTGTTATAAGCACCTACTACCCTCTCAGTGATTGATTAACTTTGTGAAAATGGTYCCATTTAGTGTGTCTGTACTGTAATCCTTTTATGAGGCAAAATGTAGAAGAATATGGGAGAGGAGTGGGGAGGGGGGTGGGATCCCATTAAGGTGTCCAATTTCCCCCTCATACTTACACATACTACATTTAACATCCATCACATACCACACCCACCAGACTTAATGATTTCCAAGTTGAATGTCATTGGTTTTTTTTTTAAAGATGGAGAGAAGTCACGAAAAAGAACCAATGATGGCTTTATTTTCTCTGTTACCATCCACCGTGCTGACAGACTTAAGCCAGACCTACAGATATCTCACCCTATGGTTCGCGTCCATGTAGTTGACAGTGAAACTGGAAACTATGTCAAGAAATCTTCTGAGTAAGTGTAAAGTAATTTCAAATGCAATGGAAAATAGTGCAGTATTTTAGTTTCCTAAAATCATTATTTCATTTTYATTCAGGRMTAGGAATGTTACATCATTTTACGAGAGTAAGCACGATACCCCTGTGGATTACATCATGCCTGTCATGACACAACCATTTGACTTCAAGACGCATAAGTAAGTCACATAACTTATTAGACCAAGAAAATAAYACTGAAAAATTAAAATTTTGTGCAATCAAGTCGTGAATAATTATGGTTGTTGGAGCTCTGCATTCAAATGTTTCAAAATGAGATGGGACCAATGGCTAATTTTACGAGGCAATCTGAAACACAACAAAGTTCTATTCATTTGCACATATTTTTAGAGCAAAAGCCAGCGCTTCTACTCAATTAGGGCATGGTCAGTCTTCAAATGCCTGAGAGGCTTGGACCAATCAGTTTTGAATGGAAAATGCCCTTAGATTTTGAACTCGTACAAGATTAAACTGCTAAAACGTTTGACTCATTCATTCTCAGGAATGAATGAGTCGAAGGATGCTTTTCTAGGGGATTTACAAGKTCTACCTAATTTAATAAATTTGGTTTAGGGGGATGACTAGGGGGRTTGCCACCTCTATATACATATTGTACGACCTACAAATAGAGTGTGATTTTATTCCATCAACAGGTGCGTTGTTCCATCTTGGGAAGAAGTGCTGATTTTTAACGAATCTTACTCATATTTTTTGAGTCTGAAAGACGCAGATCCAAAAGTTATTATCTTTTTTGAGGTATGTGTATTTCAGGTTTCTCACCATTTTCTCACCATTTCTCGAGATTACCAGAAAACTAAACCTTGATTTTTGTTTCGTTTTAAGGTGGTTGACTTCTTGAGCATGACAGCATCAAACAGACAACATGAAAGTGAGAAAGGATGGTATCGAATAGCATGGGCTTTCTTAAAGGTAAACATAACGAACCTCTTAATCTAGAGTGTACTCAATGTTTTCCCATGTCAGGGCGCATGTCATTCCCTTAAGTATTATTTCTTTGCTTTTAAATTRGTAATGCTKGAATTAYCTAAGATTATCTTAGKTTTCTTTTGTTCGATGTTGCTTATTTTGTGTGTCAGTGTATGAGTGTTTTTGTGGGTGTTTTTTGTTCACTGCAAATATAGATTGCGTGACCGGCGTGAGGTGGTTCGTTCCTTTTACGCTACAAGTGAAGATTGCGTGACTTTCTTAAGAGTTTTTCCTATTACACTACTAAAGAGAGTCCATGACTTGTAAAGATAGGGTTGCTTCTTGTAAGCTGCTAGGAAAGATCGCGTGACTTTTATCACCAACATTTTATTGCATTCATTCATTTCATGTACTACAGCTACTTGAATGACAGAAAAGTTACAGAAAAAGTCTTAACACCCTCTCTGCACGATCTTAGGCCTTTCTTTTTCACAGATATAGCCTATTTTAGTGGTCATCAGACACAAAAGATCATTCCACTTCATAGCACRTGCATCTCTATGCAAAAATATCGACCCGCAGTCTTCATCTTTCGCGTGATCATTGTTCGGTTCGCCGGAGCTCCAGTTCAAGTACTGCCCGACCAGGGGGGTGCCGTCCACCCAGGTGAATTTGCGCTTCACATCTGAAATCATCAAAAATTAGTCTGGATTACTAATATTCGGATAAAGATATAACTTCTGACATCTATAGACCGATTTAGCTTGGGCGTAAAGTTTTCCCGAATCAAACCACCCACTTTCCTTAGAAAATAAGATTCTTTGTTTGAATTGTATCCATATTCATGTGTCTTCTCATGCCCAACCATTAAACGAAGAAAAGATAGTCTTGGAAATGACAAGTGGTCTGGATTGGGAAAACACAAAAGAAAATGAACTCTCTTAGAAAATTAGAGTACAARCAMTACAAGCGTGTAACATAAATACCACTAAATACTGCTAAATHATGCTAATCCTATTGTTTTCTATTGTTTAATTAGCACTATTTACTACTAAATAGTGCAAAGTGTTGCGCAGTTTTAGTGTTTGTACTCTAGTACACCCGAGCTAAATTGGTCTATTGCTTAAAATCTTTAAAAAATTGGAAACCGGAGGACGTGCGCTGTAATACGCGCCGTCTCTTACTGATTTGATTGTGTTATCTGGACCTCACATCATATATGATTACAGTTGCTTGTTCATTTTCTCGCGTGCCTTGAGAATTATTCAGCTTTTCGTCCCACTGCGGAAAGCTTAAACACGAGCCTCTTTCTCAGGAATCACCACCACTCCCTTCTTATGCATTTACCACTCCTAGTTGGACGGCTTAATGTCTAACAGGTTTTGCAACTCAATAGATAAGACAACCATAGATTGAATTAGGATTTAGAAGTTGATTTTTGTGGAGAGAGGAAAAATCGGAGAACCAGGAGGAGAAAAACTTCGAAGCACAGGAGAGAACTAACGAACAACTCTACTCACATATGACACGGAGCCTGGCAGGGCTCCAACCCAGGCTGTATTGGTGAGAGGTTACGCTTTAGCAGCGCAGCGTTTAGTTGTGTGAATGGTGTAATACTCAGCGAATTTTTACTAAACCAGAAGAGAAAAAATCAGGTGAACCCTGGGGTTTCGAAATTTCTCTCCAAAGGATTGTTAACATAACTGACCTGCCAGGAATCCAATCCACATAAAACCGGTTGACGGGAAATACGTATGAACAAGCATGGCCACGTAGTTGTTCTCTTGAGTGGAGGTGATCTTCACAAGGTCACTCCCCATGGACAGACATGTTTTACGGGCTTCGTACCAATTGTTGGTAGGGTGCGGTGGTACTTTGTAGCAGGATGATGAACCTTCGTAGGTCACCCAACCATGGTGACACGGCTCTGAAACAAAAGGGGGAAAAGTATTTATAACCATTCGTCATTTATAGAAACGAGTTTCTGCGTTGACTTTAAATTTGAAAATTCTACAAACACCTTCCACTCCGAAAGAACTATAAAAAATAGACAAAACTGCAGATAAAGCTATTGCTATCCTCAATCATTTGCAGCATTTCGTGTTCTTTATTATTATTATTATTATTATTATTATTATTATTATCTAATATTTCATGATAGTGAAGAACATAAATGAGACTTACGATAAACCACGTCAGGCAGCATCTTTGAGTTTGCTGCAGCAGCAGTTTTGCTGGGTCCAAACAGAAAAACGTTTTCCATCAGAACCATAACAGTCAACAACAGAACCTTGTACATCTTTGTTCGATCTTTCAGTGATTGATCACGAACGTGCGTACGACTTGACTCGGGGAGAAGTGATTTTTGATAGTAAAGTGAACGATGTTTTTGCACAAAACAAAATGGCAGATGATGCTTCTTTAACGTGTTCAAACAAGAACAAACAACACAAACATGTTAATTTTCCGTTCCAAGACTGATCCACAGACGTCAGATTCATTGCAAGTTTAAACTATGACAGCTCATTATTTTATTATTGGGGATTTTAAGATTTGCAAAATCTACGACGGCGACGTCAACTGGAAGTGTAAATAACTTCTTTTTAGGGTTCTGTTCATTGGAGATTTCATTTCAAACATTGTCGTTAAAGTCAACTCATCCACAAGAAAGACAGACTTTGAAGACGCCGGGACCCTAAAGTGAAGTTATTTACACTTCAGGTTGACGTTGCAGTCGTAGATTTTGCAAATCTTAAAGTCCCTAATATATAGAGAACCACGAGCTTACCTTATCAGTTTTAACTGCCAACTGTTATCCTCCTCGTTGCTTGCGTTTATTACCAGAGGAGTAAGACTTCGAAAGTAGTACACAAATAGGTGTTCTGCATCAGGATCATGCGGATTCATTGCAGATAATCAATTAGATACGGATTTTCCACTCGGTCGCCTTCGGATATTGGATTTCGGATTCATAGGGGTTTTGAGATCATATTCTACATTTATTTTTGGGGGTCCTTCATACAGAGAGAAATTTCAAAGTGTTTTTCTAGTCTTCGCTTGATTATTTTGATCTACGTGATTACCAGCTGGATTCGCCTCAGGCAACTGTCGCTGCGACATGCAAACAATGAATAAACGTCATGCATCATGAGAAATTTGATTATATTGTATTTATTTCTATCTCGTATTTGTGAGAAATGTTTGACAATATTTTAGTTATACTCGAAATTTTCTTTTAAGTCGCCCAAAATCGTAAATTATGGCCTCCATTACGCAGTTTGCGGTTTCTCTGGTCGGGTAGAAGATCATGCAGACAATGATTATCATCAGACGTGAATTTGTTAAAAATTGCTTTACGACAACGATATCTCTATTCGTTGTCAAGAGCAGAGAAAAACATACATAGAAAAAAAATTGAAAAACCTATTTGTACATGTCATTTAAAAATAGCGCACGCTAATCGAGTTAGATGACATAGTTTAAATTTTGCCAAGTTGCTTAGTTAATAACATTAATAGAGTGCAAATAGACTAGGGTCGATACTTACAACAATCATAATAGAGTGCAAACAATAGAGTCCAAATAATATACCCGTGAAATAGTTAGGATGAAATAGGAGATAGTTAGTGCTTAATTAGACAAGACATAGGAATTCAGTGAGGCATGACAAGGGCACGGGCGTTTACTAGAGTAACAACTCAATCCCTCAATACGCAAATGAACGTTTTTTTCTAGCAAGTTTATTAAATTGAGCTAAGAATCAAGACACAAGGCGCACATTTAATTCTGCAGTAAATCATGACACAAAAAGACCCAGCACGCAAATGAACGTGTTTTCTACCATTTTTATTTGTTTAGTATCTTGCTAAAAATCAAGACAATACGCATTTATAAACTAAAACAAATCAAGACCCAAACAACTATAGCTAAAAAAGACCCAGTACGAAAATGAACGTGTTTTCTACCATTGTTATTCGTTTTATCGCGCTAAAAATCAAGACAATACGCATTTATAAACTAAAACAAATTAAGACTCAAACAACTATAGCTAAAAATGACCCAGTACGAAAATGAACTATGTTTTAATCGTTTCCTACTCATATAAAAACCGCTACAGTACCTGTAAATATCATATAAATATCTCTATAATTTAGACGAACAAGGATAAATNCGATGTTGCTTATTTTGTGTGTCAGTGTATGAGTGTTTTTGTGGGTGTTTTTTGTTCACTGCAAATATAGATTGCGTGACCGGCGTGAGGTGGTTTGTTCCCTTTACGCTACAAGTGAAGATTGCGTGACTTTCTTAAGAGTTTTTCCTATTACAATACTAGTAGAGATTCCATGACTTGTAAAGATTGCATGGCCTGGGTAGGGTTGCTTCTCGTAAACTGCTAGGAAAGATCGCGTGACTTGACCTTTATCACCAACATTTATTTCATTCATTCATTTCATGTACTACAGCTACTTGAATGACGACCATAGTTAATGGTCGTTACAGAAAAGTCTTAACACCCTCTCTGCACGATCTTAGGCCTTTCTTTTTCACAGACATAGCCTATTTTAGTGGTCCACAGACACGAAAGATCATTCCACTTCATGTCATGTATTTTAGTCAAAAATATCGATCCGCAGTCTTCACCTTTCGTGCTGGGTTCACCGGAGGCCCAGTTCGAGTACTGACCAATCAGGGGGGTGCCATCCACACAGGTGAATTTGCGCTTCGCATCTGAAATCATCAAAAATTAGTCTGGATTTCTACCATACGGATAAGATATAACTTTTGGCTTCTATAGACCAATTTAGCTTGGGCGTAATGTCTTCCCCAATTCAAACAACCCACTTTCCCTTCGAAATAAGATTCTTCGTTTGATTTACATCCATATCAGATGATCAAAAATCAGATGAATCCTGGAGTTTCGACATTTCTCTGCAAAGGATTGCAAACATAACTGACCTGCCAGGAATCCAATCCACATGTAATTGGTTGACGGGAAATACGTGTGTACAAGCATGGCCACGTAGTTGTTCTCTTGAGTCGAGGTAATCTTCACAAGGTCACTCCCCATGGACAGACATGTTTTACGGGCTTCGTACCAATTGTTGGTAGGGTGCGGTGGTACTTTGTAGCAGGATGATGAGCCTTCGTAGGTCACCCAACCATGGTGACACGGCTCTGAAACAAAAGGGGAAAAAGTTTTTATAACCATTCGTCATTTATAGAAACGAGTTTCCGCGTTTGCCCCAAATTTGATAATTCTACAAAAACCTTTCACTCCGAAAGAACTATAAAAAATAGACAAAACTGCAGATAAATATATTTCTATCTTCAATCATTTGTAGCTGAGACTTACGATAAACCACGCCAGGCAGCATTCTCGAGCTTGCTGCAGCAGCAGTTTTGCGGGGTCCAAACAGAAAAACGTTTTCCATCAGAACCATAGCAGTCAACAACAGAACCTTGTACATCTTTGTTCGATCTTTCAGTGATTGATTACGAACGTGCGTACGACTTGGAGACTCGAGGAGAAGTAATTTTTGATAGTAGAGTGAACGATGTTTTTGCACAAAACAAAATGGCAGATGATGTTTCTCTAACGTGTTCAAACAAGAATTGTCTACAAATATTGAGACATCTTTTTTTGCATATTTCAACTACGTTTCGTCAGTGTGTCAATAGTAATCTAGTAAAAGTTGTATAAATCATTTGCACTGAAAAGAAAGGAAGAAAGGAAGGAAGGAAGGAAGGAAGGAGGGAAGGAAGGAAGAAAGGAAGAAAGAAAGAAAGAAAGAACCGATAGAAAAATCTATATCTATGTCGTTGAATGACAACTTCCCCTGTAATGGCATATAAGTGTTTTAAGCTATTTGCATAAGGGAAAGTGTTGCAGCACGAACATGTTAAATTTTCCGTTCCAAGACTGATCCACAGACGTCAGATTCAGTGCAAGTTTAAACTATGACAGCTCATTATTTTATTATCATTTATAAAATATTTGAGATATAACGCGTGCGCTGATTGGCTGGCTACCGTGTTTAAATCAGAGGACAGAGACACGCTCGCGCGAAATCATTCAAAAATATTTTATAAAAGCGATATAAAACGTCCGCTTGTGTCTATATACTGTGRTAGAAACACTCTGGGAGCTGTAGAGCACTCGAGAAGCCAAAGAAACACCCGGCTACGCCTCGTGTTTCTCTACGACTTCTGCCTTGTTCTACAGCTCCCATCGTGTTTATATCCCAGCATATAGACACGCGCGCCGTTTCATATTCCTAATATAGAGAACCACGAGCTTACTTTATCAGTTTTAACTGTCAACTGTTACCCTCTTTGAATAGCGTTGCTTGCGTTTATTACCGTAGGAGTAAGATTTCGATGAGTGTGAAGTCGTAATGGAGAAAAAAGGACACTATATGGTTTTTCTTTTGTCTCACCAGGTCGTTGGAGGAAATGGTACCGTAAACGCAGATAGGAAAGTTCGCCTACAGTTATTCTATCCATATCGATCTGCATTCAGAAACAAAAACCCTGGTCACTTAGAGGTAAGGTTTACACGCTATGGGATACCTGTGGTGGTCTGCGTTCTTTTTTTTCCAGCGGATTGGCCATTAAAAAAGGGGAGCAGAGATACAGGGCTCGAAATAGAAAAAAATTATAGCCTGCCATAGTAAAGGAGCATGGTAAAAGGAGGTCATTCCAGTAAATTTTGCATGCCATTGTATTATTCATTTGGCAGTGTAACGTTATTTCCACCTGCAAAACTTGAAATTTGGCCTGTCACATTTGGCCATTGGCAGGGCGCTATTTCGAGCCCTGAAATATATTTTTGAGTTGATAAAATGGGATTTCGGTATCTGAGAATGGCAAATGATGGTGTTAGTGATGTGTTAGTGATGGTTCAAAGTGAACATCAATGAAATATGACATTTCATTAATATTGTTTTTACCATGCGTCTAATATTTATTATTTCTTTTATTGTGAAGCGCCATGAATTTTGATATGTGCGCTATGTAAGTTCCATTATTATTACGATGATTGATGATGATCAGGTAATGATTGATGGTAATGGTGATGTTAATGATGATGATAAAGATGATGGTGATGATCACAGATTATGGGGATGATACAGTAATGATGATGCATGATGATAATAATGATGATGACGATGAGGATGATGGTTATTATTATTATTATTATTATTATTATTATTATTTACAAGGTATATCACTGGTGGAAGCAGTCTCAACGAGTCCCCTACCCTTCTACCTTATACGTAACTCTCAAAGGCGTTCAACCTCCAAAGAAACTAGATCCTGCCCTGCGCTCAATGTACGCCATACAACAGGTAAATACTAAGAAAAATCAACAGTTTTAATGACTGGGAGAGAATTAGCCCCCCCCCCCCCTTTCTCTCTCACCCTCCTACCCTCTGCCCCGCCTATTGCAGAGCACCGTTACACAGGGTATCCATAGTTCTGCTCAGATTTGGTTAAATCATTCAACCTCTTATTATTTTACAGGAAAAAGGAAGAGTGACGTTTGAAGAGTTGACTACTGACGCCGAAAGAAGAGCCTACGGATTGACGTAATTATCACGTGATGTATAGATTAGTATTGATAGCACGATGTAGAACAGAATATAATACACTTCTCGGAGATTGTTCTGACTACGACGCTAACAGAAGCAGCGGCTTACAAATCAAACAGTTTTAATTGTTGTGGTTGTCTATTGGTTTATTATCGCGCTTACGTGTCAGTGAGAACTACAATCTTATGCGTGTATAGTGTGTCCCCCCCCCCTCCCCCCTCCAGCAATGTTGGGCTACGAAGTTTTCTACCCTATGAAGCGATTGGACGTTAAAATGCATGCGACACAACAATGCTACGGGGGAAGTAGGATGGTTATCCAGAGTACAAGGCGGCACATTTTATTTTACAGGAGATTGTAGTTTCCTCTGCACGCGGCCTTGTTGGGATTGTCAGGGCTTCACATTGGGAACCCTGTGGCTTTAAGTTTGTCTTTAGCAAGGTAGTGCGTAATGCAAATCTGCTTGCAGTCCAACTTTGACCGTCTAAACCAGAGTTAATGTCTGGCTGCATTCATGCTAAAGGGGTCTAATGATGCCATTTTTTCTTGCTCGTTTTATTGTACACGTCTATAGTGATAACAAAGATAACGAGGACCAACCTCCAAACTGGACAAGACTTCCTGGACAGGTAAGATATGGTACAGGTTAATATTCTACTCCCGCACGGCGCATCCATAGTCGTACGCAGCCATCAATAATCTCCAAATGTTCTAGAGCAGTTTTGGTTTGCGTTTAAATCATCATTCTGGCTTGCGGTACTTAAACTTCACATTGAAATGGTTTTCAAATGTTTTCACGTTAGTCATCCAATCAAAACGCATAACTAACAAGGCACGAATTAGTGTACGAAACCCCCGACATGCTCGAGTAACAGTTAGTATGTGTATTCATTCGCAGGTTAATCGCATTCCCAATAAACAAATGCTCTCTCTTCGGTCAGGGAAAAGAGGTTGTTTTGTCGTCAAGTTTTCTCATAACGGAAGGTAAGTTATGGCTTCATGTGAGACCAAAGCAAAATATTTTAGTGCGAAACATTTTATTGGCTTCTGATTTGAACCAATTAAAAAGCAACAAAAAAAACACGCTTTGCATTCAGTTTTGATTATGGAAAACCATTTGTCGGAGCATGCCACTTAGTACTAACTCAGACAAAGAGGTAAAAAGAAAAATGGAAGAACCGAGATATGAGTGGAACTTTGAGTATTGAGCATAGTCATGTGCCTTTTTTTTTTTTTTTTTTTTTTTTTTTTTTTTTTTKKKTTTTTTTTTTTTTTTTTTTTTTTTTTTTTTTGTTCGCTTTTTTGTAGGTTTGTTTCTTTAAATGCTTTTTCATCGTTTGCTGGCTTGCTGGCTTGCTTGTTAACGTACCGTATTAAGAAAGTTTAATTGCCCTCGTATATTTTAAATTCATTAATGGTTCATTATCAGGTATTTAGCTTGTGGGTGTGCCGACATGGACAGCTTTCCTGTCATCGTTTACGAGGTAAGATTCAATTCGTAAAATTTAGCCATAACCCTTGTCTAAAGCATTATAAAATAAAATTTATGAATCTCGCGTTCTGATTGGTTGGGAGCTCGTGCTAGCTTTATAAGAGCGCGCACAGCACGCGCAACGCCTCGTGCTTCTAACACATTCCTTGTGTTCTATCATGCCAACTCCGCGTGCTTTATAACTCCACGCAGCACGCGCGGTAGTTTTCTATTTCTTTGACACTTTTTAACAATCATTTGTCTGTCAGATTCCTTCCGGTAACTGTCGTGGCGAACTCTTAGGACATTTCAGTATCATCTACGATCTGTGCTGGTCAGCGGATGATTCAGAGCTTATTTCCTCTTCCTCAGACGGAACAGTCAGGTACAAAAACCAGTTATACCTGACTTACTTATCCTTCCCCTAATATAAATATAAATTTATAGACCCCTTGCAGCACTTTGTGATGTAGCTGAAGCTGGGGGACAAAACAATAGGTTCCAATTCTCAGGAGATTGGAATTCTTTTGTTTTGTCCCCCAGAACGAGGTGATTTGACGTCACATGTAAGAGGTCTATAGGAATAAGTCGTCCTTGCTTTGTAAGGGTAGCACTTGAAGCTGTTCGAGACTTTGAGGTTGTTAGCCTTCCGCCAGTCAAAACATTTAAAAACTCATAACATTGGAAACTTGGTTATCGGGAGGCAAATAGATGTTTAAGCATTAAGAGTAAATTTATTTAGTTTAACCTTTTCATATTTCGTTTCCCATTTCCTTTCCATTTCCCACTTTTCAACTTTCCTCAATCATAAATCCATAAGATTTTCATACTATTTAAGTTTATTTTATTTAACTTTTCTTCCCATTTTATTTTCAACTTGCCCACTTCAACTTCCCATTATTTTATGTATTCTTTACAGGATGTGGGATACGAAGACCATGATGACCAGTTTTATCAAAGTCTTTCCTCATCCCTGTTTTGTATATTCAGCCCAGTTTCATCCCAGCTCACCATACATCATAGTAACGGGCGGGTATGACCGTCTGATCAGAGTATGGACCAGTGCGTGCGAGGGTATTAATGGTCAGGTATGGTTTAGGTCTATAAATAGAAAGCGCGTGCGCGTGCTATAAAAGTGATGTTTATAGTTATTTATCTCTTATTATTTATAGTAACAGTATTGCACTGTTTTCCCTTCTCAGCTTGTAAGAGAAATTGACGGACATAACGGCTTTATCAACAGTATATGTTTTGGTCAACAAGGTATATTTTGATTTCTTCTCAGATGGGATAAAGTGTTGTTGTTGTTGTTGGATTCCTGTGGAAGAAAACGGCGAAACAATGTGTTCCTAAGCTCGTTTATGTCAGCTCGTCCTTTCATCCACAGGGAACCCATTGGCGCGAAATAAGAAATTAAATTATTCTTATAAATTATTATCTTGCATGTATCTTTAGGGAATAAGATGTTTTCTGCTGACAGCGCAGGATCTATAATTATGTGGCAGACGTCTATTGATCCAGCTTCCAATGTCAAGCGAAAAAAGAAAAACCCTTTAGGTATATTCCTTCCTACTTTATGCATATGGCATATTAAATTTATAGTCACAGCTGTCTAACTGAGACTGAACGCTATGTGACTCAGTCATATGACCAACTGCGAGGGTCTTAGTGATGCCCCAGTTGTTCGTGGATAACAGCAGAAGGAAACTTTGAGCTTTGGGAGAAATGTAGTTGATGATGATAACTATGGGGGTGGCAATGATACGTGATGATGACGATGATACATGGTGATGACGATGATACATGATCATAAATAATATATACAATATGAGCGGCCTATCTGTATGGGATTTTTAAACACAAGCAAGTGATCGTCAAGCCCATACAAATCGGCCGCTCATATTGTATATATTACTTATCAATTGTCTAGGTTAGTTCTTTTGTGTTCTACTAAAATCTTGAAGATAAGAGTGAATCTAGCAAATAAAATCCAAGTTAAAGTTGATGCAAATCAGGAGGATACAAACTCTACCACGGTCATGATTTCGATTGTGTTGTCTCATGAATTATTAAATAGTTTGAATAATTCATGATACCTTATTATAATTCATTTTGCTTTTTTTAATTACAAAGATCATGTCAGAAATTGGATGACGATAAAACACTTAAAAGAAGAAGAACTTCAGGTAAAAATCAACTTTACATTGAACTAAAATGGCTGTCATTATATATGTAAATGTAATGCGAGTAACTGTATCTGATCTCCACCAGGGTAACGTCATCAACTCGTTAGAAATTCATCCCGGTGGATTGAAGCTATTGGTCCACACTCGAAACAGTGCGCTTTATATGATCGACCTGCGCAGGTATGCTATGTATTTTGTACCTTTCAAAAGAAAGGTCGTAGGAGACAGAGGATATAGGAACTATTTTTTCCTGTACTGTATGGGAAGCCATTTTAGTGTTACATGCTGTAAGTGAGAACTGTGCGTTTTCCACTCATAAAATGGCAATTTGTATGGGAAGGCACTTGATATTATACCGTGTACGTGCTGTAAGTAGGTTTCCCACTCATTTGGAAATATTTTTTATGGGAGGCCATTTCAGTGTTACGACATACCGTACCGTGTGCGTGCCGTAAATTGATCAATTAACACAGTCATAAGAGTCAATTGTTACTTTGCTCGTACACGCATTCAGATTGGATGAGCAAAAATCTCGTGACATCATGACATGACATTCGTTCCGTGACCGTGATCTCTCTCGTTCTTTCAGTTTCACAATAATGACGCGCTACCTGGGAGCGTCGAACTTCAAGGAGCATATTCACAGCACGTTGAGCGCGTGCGGGAGCTTCGTGTTCTCAGGATCTGAAGATGGCGTTGCATATGTCTGGAATACTGAGACGGGTAAGAAAGTTTTCTATTTTAGTTTTGCTGTACTGTCATTTTTTGCGCGCATCAATCCCTTATTCCTTTGAGAAGGAAATGTCCAAATCGTGGCTATGACGTCACATACACCAAGCATGACGTCATAGCTCCACTGTGAAGAATGTTGCTGCCTATTGTTTTTTGAAAACTTTTTTACGTGTTCTTACAAGTAAAAAATAAATGAGGAGACCATGAAAATACTGGAAAAGGCCATGGTCTGCGTCTAATTAAAAACAGATTTCGTCAGCATTTATGATGAAAAATCATCTGGGAAGCACGGGTAGTCCCCAGACCAGCAGAGTTGTTTGTTGGTTCTCTCCTGTTCTTCGCTCAAGGTTCTCTGGCTCTCCATTCGCCGTAAAAACCACCCATTCCAGATTTCACTCCGATCATCGAACAAGGCTCACATCATGTTTGTGTGGACCATTTTATCTCTATTTCAGGAGACATAGTGTCCGTCTACACAAGTCTTACTTACGAGAATGCAGTATCAGACGTCGACTTCCATCCCTTAGATCACATCATAGTCTTCTGCTCGTTTGGGAACAGTCAACCTGTGTTGGTCTATAAATATGATGCCAAGGGTAAGTTGCCATGACGATAGTGACGTCACATATGCTATAGGGACGTCACGCATGCTATAGAGACGTCACGAATGCTTGTCCTTCGCCTTCCACCTCATTTATTACTGTTCTTCTTTCAGCCGCAAAGGTTGAAGCCAAGCGCATGTTCACACCACCGACCATGCCCATCAAGGTTGCAACACCCGTTGCCGCAGAAACGTCACAGGAGGAGTCAACACGTCACTTGGGTGACGTAACGCAAGATGTGATTCGGATGCAGCGAGTGAAGAACAAGCTGGACTCAGTCTTGGTAAGAGGAAACGGGATCGGAAAACCTCTTCATTTTTAGCAGAGAAAAAATTGGGTGCAATGAGAATAATAAACAAGGAAAAACAGCGCTCGCGTGATGGAAGTGGGTGCAGCATAGCCGTGCCCTGACTTAAATCAGCCCAGAGGATGTTAAAATTTGAAGGTTTTAAACTAATCATTTCTATTTTGAAGGATACGCCTGGTTCATCCCGTGTACTTGATACAGCTATACTCAAGACTCCGGGTCACAATGCAAGCTATCCATTCCAAACACCTACGATGTATCAGAGTGAAGCAAGTAGCACGATGTATCCGTCACCTCAACCCGGGCAGGTCACCTTTCAGTTACCGGACAGTACGATGAGGACGTTCCGCCAGGGGATGGGAACCCACGATACCATGTCTACCTGGGGGTCTGATTTTAGTCCGACAGGTTACGGAACAACACCAGTCCAGGTTAGATATGTATACGCTTTAAAGCACAATGGTTGTTATGACAGTAMGCTTCATTCAGTCAAATATCTGTTGTTTGTGAAGTCAAATTGGGAAGCTTGATTACCTTTTCTTTGGGGTCAACGATTAAATCGTATCAARGATGGTGCAGCGTTAGTCTCATCTCTGGGGTCTCGTGTTCCATTCCCAGCGGTACCACATGCGAGTAGAGTTTATTAGGTCTCTCCCTTGATTCGAGGGTTTTTCTCCTGGTTCTCCCTGACTTAGATCAGCCCAAAGGTTGTCTTAGGGTTGGATCTGTGAGTTAGCCATGCCCTGACTTAGATCAGCCTAGAGGTTGTCTTAGGGTTGGATCTGTGAGTTAGCCATGCC